CATGAAGAGTAAGGAAATGCCTAACCAATGGAGAAAGAGTACACTAATACCCTTGTTTAAAAATAAAGGAGATATACAAAATTATGCTAATTATAGGGGCATAAAACTAATGTGTCACACAATAAAATTATGGGAAAGGATCATAGAAACTAGGCTAAGGCAAGAGACAAACAAAATGGAAAATCAATTTGGCGTTATGTCCGGAAGATCAACAATGGAAGCTATACATTTATTAAGAAGATTATGTGAGCATTTTAATGAGAGAAAACAAGATTTACACATGGTTTTCAGTGACCTTGAAAAGGCATATGATAGGGTTAATAGAGATATAATGTGGCGGGTGATAGAAAAGAGGGGAGTGAGAGTAGGATATATAGAAATACATGTATGATAACGCAACACTTGTGTGAAGACTCCCGTAGGGATTTCGGGTGAGTTTCCCATCACGGTTGGTTTGCATCAAGGGTCGGCGTTGAGCCTATACCTTTTTGTGTTAGTAATTGATGAAATCACTAAACACTTGCAAGTAGCCATCCCCGAATATATGTTACCGCAGATGACATAGTTCTAATAAATGAAACGAGGGGGTTAATGCCAAGTTAGAGACTTGGAGGGAGGCGTTAGAATCTAAAGGTTTTACAACAAGTATGGTTAAAACGGAATATATGAAATGTCATTTTAGTAACCGTAAGAGTAATAGCATGGTAAATGTTAAGATTGGAGAACATAAAGTGAACACGACTAAAAGTTTTAAATATTTAGGATCCATTATAGAAGAAAATGAAAATATTGATAAAGATATAACACATAGAATCCAAACTGGGAGGAATAAATGGCGTAGTGCCTCATCAATACTTTGTGATCGTAAAGTACCATTGAGTTTGAAAGGTAAGTTTTATAGAATGGCCATTCGACCGGCGATGCTTTATGGATCCGAGTGTTGGGTCACTAAATATGAAAATGAGTAAGAAAAAAAATGAGGGTAGCGGAGATGAGAATATTAAGATGGATGTGTGGGCATACTAGATTAGATAGGATTAGAAATGACAGTATTAGAGAGAAAGCAAGGGGTAGCTCCAATAGACGAAAAAATGAGAGAAAACCGTTTAAGATGGTTTGGGCATGTGCATAGGAGACCGGTAGAGCCTCCGGTTAGGAGGGTAGAAACTATAGAATCAAGAATTCAAATTAAAAGGGATAGGAGTAGGCCTAAGAAAACATGGAAAGAAACTATAAAAAATGATTTGAAATATTTAAATTTGTCCGATGAATTATGCACCGACCGTGCACACTGGCGACATATGATCCATATAGCCGACCCCACCTAGTGGGAAAAAAGCTTCTTGTTGTTATCGTTGTTTCCTTTTTTTAAGTGACTTGTTGAGTTTAGAGATTGAGATGTATAAGCGGTGTGATCTAATGATAGTTATCCCCATATCAATTGTCATAAATTTATAACATATTAAAGTATGAATGATGTTTTGTGTTGGATGTTATTGAAAATAATCCCAATACAATTTTCTTTTGGGATGTTTTGAATAACCTCTCAATTATATTTAAATTTTTTTTATTCTGTATTATCGTGTCTCACATGTATTTTAATATAAAATTATTCGTGCATACAAAACCACTAGTATAAGTAAATAACCGACATCCTTTCACTAATAAATTCGTCATAGTCAATCGTCTGTATGAACAAAAAGACAAACAAAATGTCCGCAAAGAAACTTAAAATGTCTAAAAAAAACCTCATGCTTCTCTTTACTCGAATCCCATTTTTACTGTTGTACAACCCCATAAATCAGAACCATCTCATATGGTTGATATAATGTGATATGTGTCTCTTTATACAGTGAAAAACTATCCTCTTCATCTTTCCTCTTCAAATGTTATGTTCTTTGATATCGAAATTCCTATTTGATTAATCGATTGTTGCAAAGTTCCTAGTTGACTGAATTCCTTTTGTCAACCTCAAAAGTTTCAATGTTGATAGCAGTAGCATCTATTTCGACACTTCATTCTACTGGAGGGGTTTACAGATTGCTTACTACTGTACGTGAGTATGGTGCTTTTCATTTTTCTTTTTAATTTTTTTTAATATAGTTGATGATGGATATGGACAGGTTTGACTTCAAATTTCTCATAAATACACATGTATGTTGCAGAAATTTCAGAAATGAATTTCTCATGCTTCCTGCAATCCTTTGCATTTTGCTCTTGCTTACGCTTGAATCACGTCAAAGGCAGCACGAACATGATTGCATTTTGCTCAAAAGTTGTTGTTTCATGTTTTGATAGTTTCATTGGTGACACTTCTGGTCTAATTAGGTAGCTGAGAGAATTCACCATGATGAAATGGTGAGTATGGTAGCACAAACAAACTTAAGATATATATATATATATATATACATATATATATACAAAACTTCAATAAAAGGCTGATATCTTAACTCTGGACCCTGTCCTTTATTTCCTTACTCATTGTAAGCTTGTATTCTATTCGCATGATTTTCTTAAAATTAAAAAATCTGGCATCTTATTTATTGTGTTACATAGACATACTTGTGCATACATTTTTACACTTAAGTGAATATGAGTGAACTCCTAGGTTCTGAAACATACTAATTCGTATTCTGTCTCCTATCAAAGGCATTGCCTTTTTTGTGGTCAATCTGACGAAGGAAAAAGCTACATCGTTGAGTCTTATCCAAACTCAATTTGAAGCTCGTAGATTGAGTTTGACAAGTTTGTTCTACCTTTCCTTTTGCATACTGCCTCATTATGTACGTGTTTGGCAGTAGTGATAAAACTGGTTATACGTGGCCCCAGTTGTTCTTGTGCACCCTTTTGCCTTAGTGTTGTGTTTTCCTGAACCGTATTTAGATATGGTTATTATTTTTGATAGATTTGAGGTTTGACTCTTAGAATCAGAAGGAGATTTACCTCCTTTTTTTATTTTATTAATTTTTTTATTTTTTATTGTTTTGGAAAGAGAGAGTCCCCTTAGCCCAATTATTATTAACAATCCCATGATGATTATAACATGAAAGGCAATTTTTTGCCAGTCGAGGAACTTTTACAATCTTGATTTCTTTTCATCCTCGTTCATTGTCTTATATATTCCTCTCCAAGCTATGTGCCTATGTCATTTGATCATCTTTATGTAACCCCATTGTTGTTATATTATCATCGAGAATAACTAGAAATAACACTGTATTATGAACTGTCAGGTGGGGGTGGGGGAAATATTGTGAGGGATCCTGGAGTTTCTGGGTTGCTTTTGCAGCACAATGTTTTGGCAGTCGAGGAACTTCCAAGAACTACAAGAGAACCCAACCCCCCGGTAGGCTAGAAAAAACATGGCAAAAGGATGGGCCTGTAATTGAGATGTTCAGGAGGAAGTTTTGGGAAAAGAAATCAAGATTGTTTAATAAGCCCAAGGACTGCAGTGGATGGAGAAGAAAGAGTTCAGGATAAAGTTCAAAAGTGACAACTTAATGAAAGAGAGAAGGAGAGTGCAGATAATATCCGTTGAAGAAAACGACCCAACAAGATTTTTTTGGGAAAGAGGCCTTTGGAAGACAATTGCATAGCCGATCAAAATTCAAGAAAGCCAAAATCAAATGGGTTTTGAATTCGATTGATGATGGTCGGCAACTACTTTTTGGAAGGAAGAAAATGTTCGAATGAGATCGAATACAAGAAAAGGAGGAGAAAATTAAAGAGAAGAATGGATATGGTAATCCAGGTTTCATGGTGAGCTGAATTTCTCCTTAGTTATACCTCCTGGAGGAGAAGGTAGGTGAGATAACGAATAAGAAAAGCAAGAAATTAAGATGAACTTGCCAAAGGAACATAATAGTGACCACCTCATCGTGGTCAGTGTGATCAGGGAACATAATAGTTGGATCTAGTAATGAGAAAATTGAGGACACAGGAACAGTGAAACAGGGTTGCTGATGATCTTTGAGATGAAAACATAATGGCATCAGAAGTTGCAGCTGCATTTTACGCGAAACTATTCGTGAATAACAAAAGGAAAAGGAACATGATTCGTTTTTTGGGGGGTTTTATTCTAACCACTTACGAACATCTGCATCTTCATATTATTTGATCTGTGTAAGTAAAACTATGAAGGCAAAACAAATGTTTACAAGATTCATCATTCATTCCTTTGTATAATATACGCAAGTCAATCTTCAATTGGAGAGTTCAGCTGCTGCAATCTATCCAGAGTGAAGTCAATAGTTTACTGGATTTGAAAAAGGGAAATGCCTAAGGAACATTACTGTGACACCACATATAAAATCCTTCATGGATTGAGCAAAAAAAAAAAAAAAAGATGTTCCCAAAGATTAATAAAACAAGTATATTCTACCGACTTATCATAAAAAATAATGAACAAAAGTATTATTCCCCTGGTCCTTTAATCTCAAAAGCTACCATAACAATGGATGGTCTTGGGTCACAGCAACAGCCAAGCGTTCTATAATCTCAAAGACATTACCAATTAATTATCTAGGAACAATGAGGAAAAAAGCCTAGGAACAATGCTGGTTCCTTTAAACTCACATCCATCTTAATTGATGACCCATCCATTCCATATTTCTGTAGATATGATCTTATCATGTTTTCACTATCACAGCTTACAATATAATGGTACTACTTCCTGCTGTCGTAATTATAACGCACTAATTACTTTGAACTAACTTGAATATTAATTTGTGCCTTACAGTTATGACCAGAGCGAGTACATCTCCCTAAAATAGTTCATAACAAACAAGAAAAAGGGAAGGCCGAATTCATACCTTATTGGGTGTCTAAAGAAGCTCTTGAGGTGGTTTACAACGGCATGCAACCTTAGCAAAATTTACATTCTACAAACCAAATACAGAAGGCGAGAAAGGAGACTGAGCGTCGACCCTTTTCTAACGGGATAAGAAAATAACCCCAAATCCGCTGGAAGCTACGGTAACCAGGGTTTGATACCTTTGGAAGGATCACAAAGCTGTTGATAACCAATTGAACACTTTGCTGCCTAGGACGCGAGATAACCCATTGTAAAATGTACTTCTCTGAATACGTGGTTCTTTTGTCATTCTCTTTTGGAGATTCAAAGGAAGAATGTTCTCCACATGATGCGTAATGGAAACACATTTGACCACTGAAATGGGTTTCCAAAGAGGGAAATTGTCCTCAAAAATCAGTTGAACAGTTTCATGCTTTTTCTTCTCTCCCAAATCACAAAAGATCAACTTATAACGAGTGTGCTGTGGATTCCCTGGGGAAGGCTCTGATGTTCTTAGTAACATGTTACCTGTGTTTGTGCTGCCACAGAACCGAAGGTATTGGCCGTCAATCAACGAACTTGCTAGCTCGACTAAAGATTTGACCCAAACACCTTCGTTTCTGTTAATTAGTCTCCACAGTGTGATTTGATCAGAACCAAATGTGCCGCTGCCAATGTAACATCTAGTAAAAAATGCCAGCGTGAATTTGCCTCCAATTTCTGTTTGGTGCACTTCATCGTCTTCACCTGCTCGATCGGGAATATGAAGTACCTTAAACTTCTCCTCCCCGACCTCAAAATATTGCACAGCCCGAGAATCTTTCACATTCCAATAAATTGCACCATCAACACACGTATTCGCTACTGCAAGGAGACCACACTGAGGTTTACTTTCAACTTTCTTCCAGGACATACATGTACTGTTGCTAAAAGTGATAATGAAATATTGACCCGTTTCACCTCGGAAGAGTACTTTGTATTGCTTTTTGCTTGGATCGAATCCCAGGTAATATGACGGATAAAAATCACGAGCATGGCGATAATTGGGTGTTTCTAACCTAGGAAGAGCTACCTTTTCCCTAGTTGTGAGATTGAGCAACTCAAATTGAAATGGGCTAACCCATATACAGATAAGACCATTGACTATGTTTGTGCAACGCATCCCATATCCATCATATCCGTCGTTGGCAGCTTTAAAGGTGTGTAAAGGAAGCTGATTGGAAAATACTCCATCAGGTTTTGCCGGAAAGATACCCCATTGTGGTTTACCATTAAAGGAACTAACCGAATGATAAACCACCCCCTGTTGTGCTGTGGCCATAAGAAATACAAGATATGAGGAATCAGGCCTGCGGGGTCGAGATATGGTATGATGGGATTCGACGAAATATGGATCAAGAATCAGGGCTTGCCATGATTTACACACTGTTTTGAACCGCATTAGGGATTTCGCAGGAAGCCACGCGAGAACATTGAAGATTAAATCCTCCGGAAATTGATGTGTCTCGGCTTTCTCCATACTTCCGGCTGGTGAAAGATCAAGAATTTTATTAAACCTTACAATCTGATCAAACGTGACGCTCGCATCCACTATAAACCTCAAAAACTCCAAAAAGCACTATAAAACCCGGAGCTCAAATACGAGTGATACGAAATAACATATATATGCTATAGTGCTAGATCCTGATAAACCCTTTGAATCAGTATCTAACCATATTCATCAATGCAATTCCAGATTCCCACTAATTAGAATACAGAAGCTAGGGCAAGGTTGGTACCTCTCAAACTCCGGCGGCTATTCACAATTAGATGGAGCAGGATGGTTTTCTTGCACTTCGTCGGATGCCAAAGGAGTAGAGAACATCGAAGATTTGAATTCTAGATCCCACGAGGCAGTTTGCTTATTTTCGTCGATGCTGATGATTATCTTCCCATCTCAACAGATTAACAACATATTACCACCGAAACCCTAGTACAAACGATTATGTACATGGCACATAGGGGAAATTTATTTCATACACCCAGATGAATTTAAATTCTTACTTTTATGGCCCAAAGCCTCAAATAGAGAAAGATACCAATACAAATCATAATACAATAAAACTTTGGTAAATTAATAATTCGATAAATTATTAACTTTTACGAATTATAATTTTCTCCGATCCCAACTTGGGACCAGTACAAAAGTGACAAAAATCGATAAATGATAAGAGAATAATGTTTCAGAAAATTCCTTATATATCTATAGGTTCCAACAATACTATAAATTAATAAATGCCCTAAATGCAAAAAATAAAAAATAAATACTAGTAACTAGGAAAAAAGAGAAAAATATGAACTTATTGATACTTGTTTTTTCTTGAAATTTATATCCTATGAAATTCCATCATTGATTTGTCTCATTACTTTTGAAAGTTCTGGGGTTGTATTCTCAAATTGTAGCAAGAAATTGTGAAGAGTTATTGATGATTTGAGTGCTTCTTTCCGTGTGACTGGTGCCAAAGATATTGAATCATCATCACATTCATCCTCCATTGAACTATATTAATTTAAGGACACTACCCACAATATCTTCAAATGATTTGACCTCTGTGGACTCATCATTTTTACCTGGATAATCCACCAATTGATTGACATTCATCTTATTGTGATAACCAAAATGATTAATCATGTTCTGAATCTAATGAAGTCTTTCCTGGGCTACATCATTTGAGACCAATGCCGATACTTCATTTATTGAACGAATTTTGCAATGATTAAAACAATTTGCCATTGTCTTTTGTTTTTTTTTTTTTTTTGTTTGAAAAGATTCTTTAAATTAATAATTTATTAATTTATCAATTATTTAATAATTTTTTAAATTAATAAAATTTGGTGGTACCAACACTATTAATTTATAGAAGTTCTACTGTATATAGTTCTAATTTTATCGGATGTTTTTTCTCTTATGCTGTTTAGATATTCGGAATATTTAGTGATTGCTTGTCAATTCTGTAGAAAATTGTGGAATAATTTTTTCTTAAAAAAAGCCTATAATTGGAGGGTTGTTGATAGAGATTAATTCATTTTTGGTGGCTTTTGGTGGAGATAGGAAAAGTGCTATATATTAATTGCACTAGTTTTGACATCGTGCCTTTGCACGATCTGGCCTTTGCTAACTGATTTTTTGTTTTTGTTGCTCTTAATTGGATTATAAAATTTAGTTATTTTTTCGCTCTCGATTACATATATGTAAATTTTAATAATCAATAAGAGTTTTATAATTAATGATGGTACAATATTCTTACAAAGATAGTATACTAAACATTTTAACTCTTGCAGTTTGGCAGTAACCTCTCGGACCGTATCTGGCTATATATTCTGGAGCAATAGATAGGTAGCTGAAAAGGCAACCTGGGTTTTCGGGTAGCATTTTCGCTGTCGTTAACCTCAAGATGAAGTGATGCAATATGGTAACCTCAGAGATGGAGTTCGCTCTCACCCACTATATATTGAGGGAGAAGAGAATAATATATAACACATCTAAATTACGTATATCTCTATAATATCTGAGCAAATTCCTTGTCTTGCATAAACTTAATCTTTGCTAATCCTATGACAATTGACGAGGAGGCGATAGACTACAAATCAAACCGGCTATACTTTTTTTTGTGTGCAACACCAAATTAAACCATCGAGACTCAAAAAATTAAGCTGTTGCTGCCAAGGAAGGGTGACATTCTTCACTTCTCTGAACGCATGGCTCATCTGGCTCTTCTCTAATGAGTCTCATTGAAGATCGCAAACTACAAATTTACAGCAAAAACAAAATATTAATGTCAAGGCAAATTTTAATCTCAACAAAATAAAAATCATATTCAAAGTTCCAAGCGCGAAATTATTCCAACTTTGCATCTCACGTAATTCTAGCTACTTCAAAGTCGGACCATCTGAAATCCTTAATGAAATGGATATTAACAGTAAATTGCTGAATCAACCTCCGTTTAATAATGTTGCTGCAGTATCTGCCTTTAATTCGGAAAGTTCGCTGAACTGCCTAATCGGAGGATGCATGGTGATATTGTCATATTAATTGTCATTTGTCACTGAACCAGAAATCCAGAGTAAAAATCTCAATAAATATGTAGCAAGAAAGGCGAGAGAAAGTATTAATCACAGCTACAAATTTACTACAATGCAAACTATAAATTCGACTAAATTAATTTTTTTTTCAAGACTAATGATACATACGAGGAAGAATTTATATGCGGATATCTATTTAATTTTACATTTTCTATATGTTTATGTATTTAAAATTAAGGTGATAGTTTATATTAAAAGGTCATTATTTTGTGTAAATTTTCCTTGTATATCACAGTTCTTTTTTCATTAAATAAGCGTACAATATAATTTACTTCGAATTAATACATAATCTTAATCAGTACCTATAATCTTTCATTCCCAATTATCACATTTAATGGGAGAAATCAATAAGTATTTTAAACTTTTTGCTAAAAGTGAATATTTGAAACATGCCCTCAAGAATATAATCATGAATCAACCTTTCCAACTACATCAATCCCAAACTGTTCAATGGCAGCCTCTAACTCGTATCTATCCTTAAAAAATACTACATGATGCAAAAGGAGTTCACGTGACAAATTTGCTCAATATACAGTAACCAGAAGCTAGGGAAACTCAATCGATATTTCAGAAGAGTAATCACCAAGTTACATATTTAGGAACTTCAGCCTTCATTTCTAATAAAGCTTTGTCAGGGACAGGTTCCAGCTTTTTTGCCATCAGCAATAACATTGCCTGGGAAAAAGAAGAAATTGAGCAGGGATCGATCAGAGAAGTGAAATAAACCTGTTGCAGCTGTGACTTGACATTACATTTGCGAACAAAACAATCAATTGTTTGACACCCTCAAAAGCACGTGAAATAATGAATCATACATGAAGAAGATGCTTTACCTTGAAGGATCCAGGATGTATGTGTATTTGTCCAACTATATTCTTGAAATCATTGAAGACACTATTCATCCAATGTCTTCTTCCTGGAAAGGGAGAATAGAATTTTAGGAGAAACAACCGAAAGAAAAATGAAAAATAAAAGTTTCCGCCAAACGAAAGAATTACTCCCCCTGTCCCATAATTATTGTCCAGTTTGAGTTTTCATTTCTAGTTCAAATTGTACTAAAAGTGAAATCTAAAACTGGTCAATAATTTTGGGATAGAGGGTTTACTACATTTTACACAAACCGTTTTACTGTACCTTTAGCCTTGAAAATCGGCAACTGGAGACAGGAGTGAACAGAAAATAATTTTGGAAAAACAAATTCTTTTCTTCCCGCATTAGGACAGTTGTTATATCAGAAGGATTTTACTATAGCTGTAGCATGTAATAACTAAGGGTGTTAGTTTTTGAAGCCACCATCTTTACTACTTAAAGTCACCATAAATATTTTTGAACTATTTTGCCCCTCACATTTCAAACTTCCACCAAAGGAAAAAAGAGAGAAAACTTGAAGCCACCACCCTTCTAAATCCCATTTTGAAGTCTAATTTGGTGAAAAATTGATGGCAACACGGAAGAATCAAAGCGGGAAAGAGCCAATCTCATCACGGGTACGTTTTTTTTTAAAAAAAAACTTTGTAATTGAAGAAAAAAAAAATTGGAATCTGGCCGCCGAACGGGCAATGAAGCCGTCCGGCGGCGCGACCGGGACGCGCAAGCAACGCGTCCCGGTTCAACCCGGAACGGGCGGTTTGCTCGTTCCAAGTTGAACCGGGACACGTTGCTTGCGCGTCCCGGTCGCGCCGCCGGCCGGCTTCTGGCGCCGTCCGGCGGCCAGATTGCAATTTTTTTTTAATTTGTTTAATTACAATGTAATTATGTTTTAATTATGTTTGATTTAATGTAATTAGGGTTAGTAAGTAATTTTTTATTATTTAATAGTTTGTGATTTAGATTGGTTACTTAATTTAATTGTGTAAATAATTTAATTTGATTAATAATAGATTAGTTCATTAGTTAGTTTGATTGATGTACTTATTAATTTAAATAGTTATTAAAGTATTTAGGTTATACTTTTAACTAAGTTATTAGTAGATTAGTAAAGTTAATCATTTGAATTGATTAAATTAATTTAAATAGTATGTAAATTAGTTGAATGAGAAAACTAATTTAATTAATAGTAGATTAGTTCAGTACCTAATTAGGTTAATTGATTTACTCATTATTTTAATTAGCTATGGAAGCAATTAGGTTATATTTTTAATTTAATTATTAGTAGATTACTAAAGTTAATCATTTGAATTGATTAAATTAATTTAAATGGTATGTAAATTAGTTGAATGAGAAAACTAATTTAATTAATAGTAGATTAGTTCAGTACCAAATTAGTTTAATTGATTTACTCATTATTTTAATTAGTTATGAAAGCAATTAGGTTATATTTTTAATTTAATTATTAGCAGATTAGTAAAGTTACTCATTTTGATTGATTAAATAAATTTAAATAGTATGTAAATTTAAATATGATGACGATGAATAAAATTTTGTTTATAGGTTTATGGTGATGATGATGATGATAGTGATACTAGTGATACTGAAGATAGTAGTAAGCGTAAGGTTCGTGCGCGTCATCTGACCATGAGTCGTCGAAAGAAAAAAGAGGAAAAAGAGAAAAAGAAGCGAATGAGAATGACTCAGGTCACTATGGGGGGTGTACCGCTTCAGACTCGGTCTAGTCAGCCGATTAATGTACCCGAGTATTCTGAGGACGACCTGGAAGAGGGGGATGAGGATGAGGAGGATGAGTTTGATGAGGATGATGTGCAGGACAGTGTTAGGATGGGTGCACATCACAGAGATACGCCTGTGTACAATCTTAGTAGTTACCCTCCTCCTCGGTACTCCAGTTGTCCCCGGCCTGGTCCTCGCGGTTTACCCTCTCCCCCTACCCCTATCCCTTCTCCTAAGAGTGGTGAGTGGCGCAGTCCTATCATAGTCCCTCTTTCCCGCATCCGGGTATATCCGGTAGTCAGCCTCGTCCCCCGCCCGCTCGTGCATCTCCCCTACATTGATCCCGTGCCCCCTCGCGGAGGTCCCGTCTCCGCTCGAGTATCTACACGTCCTCCCCCTCTCATTGATCCCGTGGGCCCTAGCCAAGGTCCCGGATCCACTGGAGTATCTCCACGTCCAGTTACCACTACTGCATCATCAGGTACCAAATATCTATATTTAATATTCTGTACTTATGTTTAATTAATTATTTTTACTTATATTTACGATTAATTGTTGTATGTGTATAAAATGTAATAAATAATATTTGGCTTACTCATTCATGGTACAGGCGACAGCAGCCAGTCGAGAGTTTCTGATGACATTGATCCGACTACATGGCTAGTGACAGATGAAGTACCTGGTGGGCCAATAGATGGTAGCGTGATTCCTAGCTTCCTTGGGCATATTGCTTATCATTTCTGGCATGGATACAATAGACCCACATTGAATATTTTTAAAGGCGAAAAGATTCTGAATAAGTTGAAGATGTGGTATAAAGATATGGATGATGATGTGAGAGACAAGATTCGGGGGACTGGATTGGGTCACCTTCTTCGTACCTCGTATGAAGATATTGATCTTGGCTTAGTTCAGGGATTTGTTGAGAGGTGGCAGCCGGACACCAACTCATTTCATTTCTCGTTTGGGGAGATGACCATCATGATGCATGATGTTTATCATATTTTGGGCATTGAGGTCGATGGAGAGTTGGTGACAGGTACGTCCGACACAGATTTGTTGAGGGGACATGCAGCAGGGATACTTGGCATGGATATGAATGATTACAAGTGGAGTCATGGCGGTGTCTCTGATTCGTTCATCCTTGAGCGATGCGAGAAAGCGGACGCGAATACCCAGGCCAGTGCTTTCTTGTGGGTATTGTTGGCCTCGACGTTGTTCATGGGCAAGAGTGGTGGGAGGTGCAGTGTCGCACTTGTACATGAGCTGATGGCTGGGATCGAGAATATGGGTTCATACTCGTGGGGCTCTGCTACGCTTGCGTTCCTATACCGTCAGTTAGGGATGGCTAGTAGGGCAATGTGCACTTAGTTAGGTGGTTATTTGACCCTACTGCAGGCTTGGATATACGAGTATTTTCCGATTTTCCGTCCCCAGGGAGGGCGAGTTACCCGTGCGGGTAATGACAGGCCCAGAGTATATGACTGGATACCACCATCTTTTGCGGGGCCGACATCTGTGTCAGATCGTCTTCGTCAGGTTAGGGAGCGTCTCGACCGTTTCACCGAGTTAGAGGTACTTGATTGCTTCATTTGACTGTATTTCATTTTATTTTTTAAAAATTATATTTACAAATAATCTAAATACTATTTTGCAGGTTAAGTGGGAGCCATTTGGACCTGGCCAACAAGGAATAGTTCCTAGGACTATCTATAGTGGGTGGATAATGTATAGGAACATGCAGGAGCCATACATGCCGGACAGATGTATACGTCAGATTGGCTACGTACAGAGCATTCCTCGTTCGCTCATGTCCCCTGCTGATGCATTCCGAGGACCCAGGACTACCCAGTACTTTGTACAGCATTCTGCTGTTGACACACTCAGTACTTGGAGGAGATTCCCGGAGTCAGCGTGTCTTAATTTGACCAGATGGCGATATAATTATAGCGGTGACATCGTAGGAGAGTGTGAGGATGGGTACCTTGAATGGTACAGGCAGTATTCACATCCATTTTTGCTGCCGATAACTGACCCATCTGCAGTCTCTACACCAGCTAAGAGCCGTCAGGATTATGTAAGTTGTATTTTTTTTTTTTTGAGTTTTTGTAGATATACATTTCTATATTATAAATAGGTTTAACCTTTTTTAGATTTTGTGTTTTCAGTGAATGAATGAATTGAGGAAGCTGACCAGGGACCTGATTAGAAAGGTCAAAATGTCCGATCGCGACCTGGCCGACGAGTATGATGAGAAGCTGCAGGATACGATGATCCGTTGTTATAAGGCCCCATGATCATTGACATTGTTGGACTATTTGACTGGATTTGTTTGTTTTTCTCTTTCTTGGACTGCATTTTATTTTATTTTTTTAGGGTGTGATGGGATTGTGAACAATTGATAAGTTAGCTTATTTGGTGTCCGTGTGGTAAGTTTTTTTCTTTATGGCCAACAAGGTTTGTTATTGCACAAATCATAAAAAATAAACAAATCAGCTACTAGATAATATCATTATCATCATCACAACAAACAAACCTACATGGATCTAATCTAAGAAACTAAGATCAATGAAATCATTATCATCCACGGGCCGCATCCGGTTGAAGGGGACCAACCTAAACCAATGTTCAATTCTAGGAAGAAGTGGTAATTCCCAACCAGTAACGCTAAGCTGATGTTCCTTAGTCCACCGATTATTAATTGGTGGAACTGGAAAGTCACCGTCCAAATTGATCCGAATGAAGTGCTTGTAAAGACCATGGTGACATACCCCAATCTCAAATGCCAGACATGTTGCCTCACCGCGTGCAGTGACAGGTAGTACAGTCCAACATGATGAGTTTAGCGACTGGTTCTCTTCCCCTGCACCGCAATAGTACACAATTGCATTGTTCATAGTCGCAACTACGAACAAGTCCGTCACACACATCCAATGGCGCTCAGGTGCGAAATCTTGTCCACTCCACCGTATACGACGGACTTCTTCCTGTAAGGATGTCCTGCATTTACATATACAATTATTTGTGCAAAATACTGCCAAGTTCAGCAAACATCATAACATAGAAAATGAAAAGTATTTATACCCGTAGATTCTAGTGTACAGATACCAATTCTGTTCTAGCTCGTTTGCCATTGCCTCTCTTGCCATCGGCCACTTCTCCTGGCTCAAAAACATGTTACTCGCGACTACGCGAAATCCACAATTGCCATCGGCACCAACATCGAGGTAACTGGTAATATATGGCCGAATGGGCCATGGAATGAGGTCGTAGCAACCATACTGTGAAATATCATTCGCAAAGATATCTGTACATTACACGGAAACAATGTTATTTGGAACAATTGATAATAAATAAAGAATATTCTGAACAATTACTTATTAACATGTACCTGTGGATGCATCTCTACGACCACCTGAAGACGAGGGGCACTTCTTACTTGAATCGCTAGTAACTGTGGTCGACTTTCCTTGCGCCTCGTCCCTGTAATCCCACACATTAGGAGTTGCTTTTTTCTGTGGGGATTGTTCATGGGCAACAGTGTTGGCCTCTGTTTTTTTCTTTGATTTAGCCCCCTTAGGCCGCCCCTTCCTTCTCTTGACCTCCTCAGGTTGTTTGAACCCACACTGTTCTGGATGCATAATATCGTGGAGAACCCTATTTACAGTACGTCGTACTGCCTTAGGACACTCGTTCAGCTCTTCCATCAACTGTCTGGTATAAAGGACCTCGTCATCCACATCGGTAGGAGCACTCGTACCAGCCTGTTCACCGATATTAAGGGTCGCCCAAAATGGGTGAATATGCTTAAGAGTTATCGATGTGCCGGCATCTGCAGCCTTTTTGAGGGCGCACGCACATGGAATTCGACAAGTCCAGTACACCACATGATCGCATCGGTCATTGGTTTCTTCTTTCCACTCTTGCACCTTCGACCACTCAGTGTTCAGCTTTTGCAAACAAGTATGTGAAACTTGAAACTTCAAGCGGTTCCGTGGAAAACCGCAATAATGGGTGCCAATTTTCTGTCTTGAGTACTCCAGTTTGTACCTGAATGTAGCCAATTACTGTAAAACATTCTACGTAAAATGCCATAAACACAAAATAATTACTAAATATATTATAATAAATATAACTTCTAATAAAATGGAATAGAACTTACCGTATTTCGGTTAGCTGACTCTGAATTTCCAAGTGCACCTTAGCCCAAAGTGTATCCAGGGACGCCGTGGATGTTTCCAGCCAGGTTTTTAACTGCTTGTGCACGCTCTCCACCCTACCTGTAGTAGTGTTGCCCATATGAAACACAGCATTCGTCCATGCCTTGACGAATTTGTAGTCAACCACTAGCCATGTCTTCTGGATATAAGTAAGAACTCTCGGAAAAGACTGCCAACGACGGTTTATTACGGCAACAGCTTTATTGTACTCATCCTGGTTATTAGCTTCTACAACGTCTTTCCACAACCCATATGTAAAACCATTTGCAATCTTGGCATCAATTTTCAATTCCTTGTTGAGATGTCGCTTTACATTCTCATAAACGTGCCAAATACACAACAAGTGGCATGAATCGGAAATACCATACCAGCGGCGCCATCAACCCCAGCCTCCCGATCAAGAACAATAACAATGGAGACAGATGACCGTAGCAAATCCCTTAACCTGCCTCAAAGCCCAATAATAACCGTCGCCAGCCTCGTCACTCAAGAGGGCGTATGCAATCAGGAAGTTCTGGTTGCACGGTGTCATCCCAATAAACTCAACCAACGGCATTTTGTACTTGTTCGTCTTGTATGTTGAGTCTATCCCGACGACCCATAAATAACTGCAAAATAAATTGACAGCATCAGGATGTGCAGGAGTCAGCACACCTGTCTCCTGATTGCAATCTGTCATGATGATGTAACCATGATGCTTGGCCACCGCTAGTGTCTTCGTCGCGACATCCATGGCACTCGATTCACCCAACACCGGGAACCCCTCATTACGCAATTTCTTCCTGAAATTGTACACTTGCCGTCTGTTAACTTTTTCATCAGGAAAGATCCTCTGAATCGCAGCCATGATCTGACACGGTCTGCACCCATCTTTGGACATACCCTGTATAAGCTGTTTCACTACATCGCTAAGGCCCCTCGTGGGATGATCTTCGTCAAACAGCTCGTGGTTATACATTCCAAACTCACCAAGATACACCCGAATGCGCCACTTCCCATCCACTGAGTGCACATATAACTTAAATTTACACCCAGTGTTCTGTGTCTTCGAATCTGATGTGACATAGTATTCACCATCATCAACTGACACCTTTCCCCCTTTACAGCATCTCATCAGAACAACATTCTTCTTCTTACTAGAAACTACATTTATAATCATACCATTTGCCATGCCCATGCCTTTCACCCAAGCAACAGCATCATCCTTGTTTGCAAATTCCTCATCTGTAGCAAATAATATACTGTAATCTTGACCATCGCCACCAAAATCTTCTAAAGAATCCTGCAAATTAAACATAAAATAACAACAATAAAAAACTGCATCATAATAAATTAAATTAAACACATATTCCAATAATTTAAAAAATTTAAACAATTATAATAACTAATAAAAAAACATATATTTACAGTAAATAGATTAATTATTTACTAAATTAAATTTCCCAATACCTACCTAATAAATATTAGCGATTAATTAAATAGATTAATTATTTACTAAATTAAATACTTATTCCACAAAATTCTTTAATTATTTAATTATTCCCCCCCTAAATAAATATTATCTCTAATTAGTTAAATCTAATTAGATAAATATAATTCAACTAATTACATTACTTAACATAACTAATTAATTTAAAATATACAATAATAATATTCTTACTTAATTAAATTAACAAAACATGCAATAAATAAAAATATAATTCAACTAATTAATTTACTTAACATAACTAATTAAATTTAATTAACATAACATGCAATAAATAAATATGATTAAACTAATTCAATTACTTAACATAACTAATTAAATTAACAAATAAATTAACATAACATGCATGAAATTAAAATTATTAAAAAAAATAAAAAAAAACCCGGTTGAACCGGGGACGCGCAACACACGCGTCCCGGTTGAACCGGGACGCGCAATATACGCGTTCGGTTATTGAACCGAACGCGTATATGCGCGTCCCGGTTCAACCGGGACGCGTGTTGGACCCGTCCGGCCAATGAACCGGACGTGTCCATTGCCCGTTCACGGTTCAACCGGGGCGTATATTGCGCGTCCGGCTCGATTTTACCCGGTCCGGCCGCGCAATATACGCGTCCCGGTTGAACCGGGGCCCGCAATGTACGCGTCCGGTTCAATGGCCGGACGCATTTCTTGTGCGTCTCCGGTTCAACCGTGACGGTTTTTTTGACCGGTTCGGTTATTTTTTAAGTTTTTTTTTTTTACCTCTGAATAACTCATTTTCGTTCTCTCTCTACTGGCAGAGGCAAAATCGTCAAAAAATTTTTGAGGTGGCTTTGAGTACTAATTTTGTTGGCTTCAAAAATCCCCCCCCATAACTAATACTTTTCAAAATGGAATATATCTTATTGGGGTTCTTAACTTGTGAATCTCTATTTAGATTTTGGTTAGAAACCAAGCCACAAAAAAAAAAGCGAAAATAGTATGTTAGGGAAATTGGTAAAACTTGTGAAATGATGCATTGGAGTCTTGGAGATACGATACTCTTTTTTTTTCCCGCTATATATTCATGAAAAAATTACTCCCTCGGTCCAAAACAAAAGATTTATATTAAAATTAATATGAATTTGAAACTCAATCTGATTTCATTTTTTTTTAGACAAAGATATTATAAGTTTAGTTTTCCAGATTTTCCTTACGAGTTTTTTACCCAAATAATTTTAAATGGAAAGAACTGAACAAAAATATATTTTCCGGAGTGGAGTGCACAAATCTAATTGTCTCAGATTTACCAAATCCGAATGTATTCATTTTGTACTAGATTCGGATTTGCCAAATCCGAATCTCCTTGTATTACAATTATGTAATGAATTAATTCTATTGGGGTATTCGTATTTAGCAAATTCGAGACAACTAGTTTTGTCCACCGAAAATAGAAAAAAAAATTATTTTTGTCCACATCTTTTTTTTAGAAATTTTTTTGGCTGAAGCACCCCTTAATCATATACATCTACTATCTACTACTACTTCTACTATATACTAGGTGTTAGACCCGTCCAATGGACGGTGAAGGCATCCACATGTAAACATTTTTATATAAATTTTATATTTTTATAAAATAAGTAATGACTTCATTGGAAAATGTAAACACAAACACCAACAACACTTTATCAAATGAATACAATGATAATTTGTTTAACGCATGGAGGATTGTTAAGAAATTCAAAATAGAAAATATTTAAAAATGAAAAAAATGAACTTTGAATTGAATGATTATAATTCTATATATCATGTAAAACTTCTTTGTAGACTACATTTGTAATCATGGAATTGGCATCATCATGTTCATCAATTATCAGGACCTTTATTCATTGTCTTGAAGTGACTTATGTTTTTAGTGTTTTTTTTTTAACATACGATGCATTCTCACATTATCCCTGTTTTTTTTGGCTAACCCATTTATTCGTTTGATACAGCTGTTTCTCGTTATCTATCTAATAATTTATTTTTACTTTAACTTATCCGTTGTAAAAAATATTTTATTTAAAATATGAGGGTGGGAGTATCTTAGGGTGGGAGTATCTCTTCTTACAATTTGATGCAATAGTAGACATGCTAACTGAACTTAGATTCAAACCAATAAGGACAAACTCTTGAAGATTGACAAAGTTCATAGCAATAGCAATCGAACCCTCATCTCCAATTCTATTTGACCTCCACCCATCAATGTGGAGTTTTCTCAAAAGCTTACAGTTCTCAGCTACGACCACCACACCAGCGTTCGTGCAATCTAAAGCCCTTACTAAATTACTCTTGAGCACTTATTTCCATGAGTGAATCATCTCCTTTGGTTTGAACCTCAAAGTTAAAGACATTCTCATCATCTTAATCATAGCTCTCTTGAACCAACTCCCTATGACATAAGTAGTCAAGATCCATCCTTTCTTCCTTGATTGGCCTGCAAAGTAAACTTGGCACCCCAAAACTAGAATAAAGGACTAGCTTATTCCCCTCACTAGGAGAACCACCATGGAAGGCTATATGATTCTCATCACTTAAAATCACGCGCATGCGTCAACAAAGCACAAACAAGTGTGCAATGCACTAATCTTCGAAAAGAATAGAAAAAAAAACAAAGAGTTTCCTCTCGTCTTGTATTGAAATATCAATAATCATGAAAAGTATATGTTTTTGGTCGACCAAGGACCCCTTTATATAGGCAAAGGTTGGCTTGGATAAAGAGAAACCCGAATACAAGTTCAAATCGGATTTGTCTACCTAAGTTTCCAAATATAGATTTAAATAATAATTAAATAAATAATTGCACATGTCACAATTATTTAAAACCATCTAAAATCTTCTAGAGGTGTAAGAAAGTCGGCCATAAGGGATAAATGACAAAAAAAATCCTTTTCCTAATCAAAATAAGATAGTAGAAAAATCTGCCCGCCGCGCGTAGACCTCCTCGTCGACCAACATCCTAGTCGATGCAGCCCTGTCGACTTTGCTGTCGATCAATACCTTGCTCGACGCCATGCTGTCAGCTTTGATGTCGACTTCCTCTCCTCGACTAAGAGCTTGACGTGCAGTAAATGCTTCAACTCTACTCCAAGATAAACATGAAACCATGGAATTGAATCCACATTGAGAGCTTAAACATCCATGAACAAGTTGTTGAGTGACTTATTCATTTTCTTTCTTTGAGACCTCGTCACATGACCTCCAATATTAGCTAATGAATCTTTAATCACTCTTTGAGCTCGAAATTGATTACTCGATTGAACGTTAACTTGTCCTTGAGCTTGATCACCTAGGATGTCCACATCAAGCTGCACCATCCACGTGAACCCTTATCATAAGTAATAAAGAAAGAAAACTAAATTGACTAATGAATATCGTTCCAGAACCTCCCTAAACTTCCCTATTATTTATAATTTTTTTAACTTTGGCATTGTTTTATTGCTTGAGGAAACGGTATATAAAATTAAGGCGGTGATGTGTGTGTTCATACAACTAAACCAGGCCCTCCTGTTTTTTTTTTCTTTTCCCTCTATGTTGTGGTAGAAAGTATTTTTAATAAATTAGAGTATGGGATGACTTTCAGGTTCACTGATATAGCAAAACTCAAGGGTATAACCAGGAGTTCCTGGTATGTACTATATCAGGCAGTGCTATGTAGTACCATGCACCCAAGGGGTCTATCCAAGGGATGGACATAAATACTTTATAGTCCCTTAGTTTCATCCCTCCCTGATTTTATTCACTTAAAAAAAAAAACTAGGGCAGAGTATGGTCTTACCCTTGTCTTTTTACAACAAGCGACTACTACATCATCTAATACGACTTCTAATATAATGGAAGGATAATTGATCGAAGATTAACAATCCTCTTACAAACAAAGACAAACTAGCTAAAGATAGATGAACTTCCGAGATCCTTGAAGAAGTCCTCTTCGCTAGCCAATCAACAACTGAATTCGCCTCCCTAAAGATATGTGTGACTCCAAAACCATTTCTCTAAATGGTGGATGACATTTCTTGCATTTGCAAATAATACTGCTAAGGAAACCCCGACCTTCCAGCTAAAGCATCAGCTAATACTTTATTGTCAGTTTGAACGATCACATTCAAAAGGCGCAAATTCTCACATTTTCGCACGATCCAAACATAGTCTAAATGATTAGAAGAGTTGCGGGTTTTGTTCATGAATTCAATGTATCAATATGCACGTTTAATTCTTGTGCACATACCAGGTACTACTTTCTTCGATCTAGTATTTTTTTTTTTTGATGTTTTCTGTTTTTATTTTAAGACTTTATAGCTCCATTGATCCACCATTTTAATAAATCAAGCTACAGTACTATTATTTAATTCTAACCTAAGAGTAAATAATAACATTTAACCTAACACGTAACAATCTATGGATATTACACCAACGCACAATTTCATGTGCTGGTTAGCTTTGAAGAATAGATTACTTACGCAGGAAAGGCTGTAAAAAATGAAATTTAAAATAGAAGAGGTGAAATGTGAATTGTGTGTAGGGTTTCAAGAAAATGTGGATCATCTATTTTTTAGGTATCTATTTCCGAAGAATCTGATTAATAAAGTATTACAGTGGCTCTGATACCAGAATAGAACCAAAATATTTTACTTAAAGAAATTATTAGAATAAAAATAATAATAAAATCAGAATAAAGGAAATTGAATCGAAAGGAAATTTTATTCAATCCAAATAATTAAAAAAGAGAGATTTTAGTTTTCGAAAGATATCAGAAAACTTGGTGTGTCTCTCTTATTTGATATCCTTCATTATTTATAGAAGGATTTCTTGAATTTTCATTTGAATTTCAATTTACATTTGAATTTGAATTTGCATTTGAACTGTCGGTCTCCGTCAATTTACTGTGAACGACTTCTTGTCCATATCGGCTTTTTGAATTGTGAATATGAATCCAAAGAAAGTTTTCTCCGGTTGTCTACTCTGTTGTCTTTTTTTTTCTTGTCTTCTTTTTTCTTGTCTTCTTGTTCCTTTGTTTTCTTTTCAACTTTTATTCATGTCTCAGTGGTTCTTGTCTTAACTTTTGAACATGTTGAACGAATTTACTTAATTTAGTCACCAATGTATTCATGTGAGGTTAAATCTTTGTTGTCTGAGAAGTAATGTCAATAGAATCTTGAAAGAAAGAAGATACAAGAAGCTGGAGCAGAGAATACTATATGCTGATATTGTAGTTGTTGTATACCATGAATTGAAAGGAATCAAAGAAAATTTGAGAAAAAAGACAATGATAGTAGAGGAAAGATTTGGATTACTAGTACAAGAGTTGAAATGGAAACTGTAGTTTTGTTGTAGGAAAAGATCAGATACTACAGGAATTGAAATGAAAACTGCAATTTTGTTGTAGGAAAAGATCAGATACTAATAGTAGATATCTTGAAAAATTGGGAGTGAGCTGCTGATGTAATAGAAAGTGGTAGATTGTACAGTGTAATTATTCTTGAAAGTAATCTTTTACCCAAAAAAAAAAAAAAAAAAGTCAACCAAACAATTTTGACCCCAAAAATTATTTCAGCCCAAGAAGACTTTCCTGTCCAACTAAAATTCATTTTGACCCGCCCGTATAATTTAACTACCATTTTTCATCGATTTTATTTCCTTATCTCTGTTTCTTGGCCAGCAACTTCCTCTCATCCAACTTCTGGGAAACCAAGCTTCTAAGAAACCCATTCCCCATTCATCAAAGTCCTCTCTTTCTTCCATTTCGAAGCAATTTCTTCACTCTTAGTCGATAACCCATTTGCCAAATTCCTGTATTAGATTACATACCAGCAAGAGAATTGAGGGGAAAAGAAAGGGGAAGGAGCATTGATTGGAAAAATGATTGAATAGTGTTGTTTCTTTCAAATGTTCATCTCTTAGTACTGGTACTATTCAATTCAGCAACAATCCCGTTACGCCACTCTGTCTATTATATCTATCAACATTTCAAGTTTCAACAACAATGGCCTCTTCACTTGCTGTTTCCTCACCAGCTTCAACTAGGTATGATATGTAGCAAAGCTTCAATCTTTTCGCAATTACAAATTTTCCAATTTTCCTGTAACTCTTTTCTGACTGTTTTTGCTTTGATGATCATGTTTATCAGCAATTTGAAACCCCTATTTCTTGGAAATGCAATACGCAGTCTTCCTCCTGGTGGTGTTAGTATTGCCAAGAGGAGGAGGGATTTGATTGTGGAATGTAAAGAGTCTAGGGTTGGCAAGCAACCAATTCAAGTGCCCACAAATGTTACCCTAACCATGGAGGGTCAAGATTTGAAAGTGAAAGGTCCATTAGGGCAGCTTGCAATCACTTACCCCAAAGAAGTTATATTGGAGAGGGATGAAGCTGCTGGCACCCTTAGAGTCAGAAAAGCTGTCGAAACTCGAAGAGCCAATCAAATGCACGGGTTATTTAGGTACTACTACTCCCACTGCCTGACTCGATTCGTCAAGTTTTGTTAAAAATGTTCCATTTTTATCACTATTATATTTGAGCTGGAATTTGTAAAACTGCCTGAGATAATATAGTGAAGCATTGATTGATCAATATGGACTGTGTAGGAACATATAAAATCTGATCTTATGCTTTTGGTGATGCTGGAAATAAGACTACGATTAAGTTTGTCATATCATTATCATTGTTAAATTAAACTGGTATTATACATAGCATGCAACTGTTGCTAAGCATTGATTAATGGTGGGGCTAGTTTTGGGAGCTGTTTTGTGTCCCCAAGGTGAAGGTTGGATAACCTCCTATTGGTCGTTGTCCAATGCATGCTGGACTTAACGTGTATGTTTACAAGCTTTCCCTTTCTAGTATCCACTGTATCGTGGTCGAGTTACTCGGTCAGGTTTGTGTCCATTACCTGTTCTATTTTTTAAGTTAGGTTCATGTTCAGTCCCAAATTGTCATCCTTAGGCTAGTGTATCAAAAAGAATAATCCAATAATGGCATTATGGCTGTGGTAGTGCTGGAACATGAGATAGTGCGTAAATGCCCTCTATTGTAGTTGATCTTGAATGCTGTTGTTAGAGTTATGTTCTGGACACTGCTTTTATTCAGTTGTCCTTTCATGGGCCGTGGCTGCTTTCTGTGGATATTATAAGATGGGAGCTTTAGAGCTCATAGCTCCTATTTGTTTGGAAGAATATATCATGACCTGTGTTCTTGTGCTTGGATTCTAGGTAAAGTAATAGACAAATGTAAAAAAGGTTCTTTTTTCAGAAAGACAACAAAGGTCAAGATTGATAGATATTTGAAGCAAAAATATCGTTGTCATTTGCTTGAAAACCTTGCTGAATTCTTCTCTTATCTCCTCCGCGGCTTCGCCTACCAAATTCCGTGTCTGTGGGATGTGGTATGAGTATAGCAAACTAAATGGTTGTGCTACTTGTATCTTTGCTACCTTTCCTTGATTTTCAGTCAAGACAATTACAGATATGTCCATTGGAAAAATGTGTGAAGGAGGCCACGAGCACTTGTCGACTTTTTACATTGCAATGCTGTTGTACCAGTGTTACAGAATTTAACTTGTGTAGTTGGTTGACCTTGTAGTTTTCATGGTTAGTTTTATTTAAAATAACCCAAGTTTGCTACGAAAGCTCATTTCTGCTTTCGCATAACACTAGCCAAAACCTTTTAGGTCAAACAAAATAGGCAAATTGAATAATTGTAATTCTTCATCCATTGAGATTATGGGAATGTGATTGCTATCTTAAACGTCCTGATCTTTCCTTCTCTCCTTATTTCTGACATTGTGCCGTACTTGTTATTCTTTCAGGACTCTTACTGACAACATGGTAGTGGGTGTATCAAAAGGATTCGAGAAAAGACTCCAACTGGTTGGGGTGGGTTACCGTGCTGCGGTTGAAGGAAAAGATATAGTGCTGAGTCTCGGGTTCTCTCATCCGGTTAGGATGACGATTCCTGATGGGTTGCAGGTGAAGGTTGAAGAAAATACGAGAATCATTGTGAGTGGTTACGACAAATCTGAAATCGGACAATTTGCTGCTTCAATTAGGAAATGGAGGCCTCCAGAACCATACAAAGGCAAAGGTGTCAAATATGCTGATGAAGTTATTAGAAGAAAGGAAGGCAAACAAGGGAAGAAGAAATGATTGGTTCTGCTGAATTTCGTGTATCTTGGTAGTTTCAGGTCTTGATTTGCTGAAATTTAAAGTTAATTTCAGAACTGGCTGGCTTTTGACAATCCCACCAGCTTCAAGTTCACTCTGTCTCTGAATTTGAGTACACTTCTAATGCGGCATGAACATTTACTGTCAATCCTGTAAGCTGGTTCTTCGTATGAGAATGTAGTATACTTTGTAGAGTTGAGGTTTTTTTTTTTTTTTTTTTTTTTGGTTTTTTGAAGGAGGTAGACTTGAGATGTTGAATGCATACTAAAGTAAGCAAGGACCAAAAATTGACTTGAAGCAAAAAGGAGTTTTAATATTTTCTGAGGATAAAATGATGCAATTACAGTGAAACATGAAGAGAAAATGAAATTATACTAAATTGAAATAATTGTTGGCTAAGTTTTGACTGAAAAATTTGGTTTTTGGTAAACTTAAAGTTTTGTAGTAATAAATTACACGTAAAGTATGAAGCGAAAAGAAAATTGCTAAGTTTTAAAATTACTAAAATCATTGGTTAGATTCATAAGTCCAGGGCAATCAATATTTAACCAGTTTATACCGTACAGTCCGTACTCCTTTTTATTTCCAAACAAATCTCATTTCATCAAAATGTAGAAATTTCAAAATAAATGTTGTTTCTTAATTTCAATGTATTTTTATCCAATTTTTTTTTAAAAAAATTTGTTTTACATTTTCATTAATGATTTTTAACATTACTAGTTAACAATAAAATTTTGATTCGGCCACATAATAAACAAAAAAAAGTTATCAAAATAATTTTTTAAGGAATAAAAAATAAACTAATAATCTTCACATAAATTTTACATAATTAATAGATTAAGACCCTATTTGATAAATAATTCAGCACTTACACTTATTGATTAAGTGCTTAATTGATTAACACTGGCTGTTTGATAATACAATATCAGAACAACTTAATTGATTAAGAACTTATCTAATTAAGGACTTAAATTTTTCAGTGCGTTTAATAACTCAAAGTAGGATATTTTAATAAATTAAGTGAGTCTGAAATGTTAGTACATATGTGAGCCTAAAAATAAGTGATAGACCTATCACTTATATCTGAAATGAATTGTTGAGATGATTTTTTTTTCTATTTATTTACTTTTATGTTTATACTTTTGATGCTTTATCTTGAAACATTTTTTTAATAACCTTGATGTTTAGTTATATATTAAAATTTATATAAGTTATTTTTATTTAATAAATTTTTATTTTAATATAAAATAAAATTCGAACAAATTCCATGATCAATATATATTTACTATAAAATATGATTTTTTCGATAATACTAAAAATATGACATTATTATTAACTGAAAAAATAATTACATAATAAAATATAAATATTTTCATCACATGATTTTATAATAATACTATTATTATTTTTTTTATATTAAACCAGGTCAGTACCTGGGACTTTTATTAATATCAGAAAATAATTTCAGAACAGTGCTTAAGACTTGCCCTGTACAAGAGGCCGTCAAAAGACGGAGATTTAAATATCAGTAAATATACTGATATTTTCAAAAGAGACCAAATTAGACCTATATTAAATTAATTCTAATGTCGGTTCCAGACTCATCAGAATTATTTATCTAGTAAATCAAAAAGGATAAATTCCCATCATCGTGATTCGCTTCTTTCGGATCACAGATCTAAACTGCCGCGTTTAGTGGGTATATGGAGAATCTAAATCTGTGAGTGATATACAGGAAAATTTAATTCCTAAAAGAGTCCCTAAAATAAATAAAACTAAATTTGAACCAGAACCATAACATACGAATTGACCGTATAAACTAAAGTGGTTTGTTTGGAAACCAGACCAGTGAACCGAATTGAATCGGTTCACCATTAATTAAGAACCGGCAGGTCCGGTTCATTACCGGTTTGATTGTCGGCTTCTCGTCCACAGTCATGACCACCATCATCGTCGTCTCCTCTGGCCGAGAGAACAGAGTGGGGAGGGTTGAGGGAAGGGCCGCACGGCGTATCGGACGGCCGAGTCCGCCGGCGTGGGCTGTGCTTCAGACAGCAAGGAGTGGATGCCGGCCAATTCAGATATGAGCACGAGACTCCGATCTGCACCAGTCAACACTGGTGATTTCCGGCATCGGCTCAATTCTTGGATTTTGCAGCTTGCCGGACGATGCATCCCTGGGGTCTGTTCGTCGGCGTGGGCTGTGCTTCAGACGGCGGGGACGGATGAGCGATGGAAGCAGTTGTAGCAGCGGCAGATCTACAGGAGGATCTACTCTGGTTAACTCCTTTCTCTTGAGTCTTCATCTACAACATCTTCTGGTCGGCCGATGATAAGATCTGAGCATAAAGCTTAGATCTGCACCAGTCAACACTGGTGAGTGGCCGACCGATGATGGCCAAGCTTTTTCAAGCCGCGGCCGGCGATTGAAGAAAAGTGGAGGCCAGGCAATTAAATTCAGTAGCGGGAGGCGGCCATGCGGCAAGGTAAGGCCGCGATTTGAATGACTTGAAGGCCAGGAGGCCTTCTGAAAGAAACGGGAATTAAAAGACAGAAAAAAATAAAGGAAGGGACTCCCCCAACCACCGTTAATGGTGGTTGGGGGAGGAGGAAATTTTCGGTTGCGTTAGTGAGATGGGAGAGAAAAAGTTTAGAGAGGACTGTTTTTTTTCTTCAACCCATACAGTGTTTTATAAAACGTTTAAATTAATAATACTATTATTTTAATTATCATATCTTCATATATATATATATCAATTATTTTTTTGGATAAAATTATTGGTCGAGATACTTTAAATTTCAGTTTTCAGACTTTAGTTTTCAAATATTTTATTCAGTTTTCAGAATTTTAATTTTTATCAAACAATACAAACTTAATCAGTTCAGTACTTATGATTCAGTTTTCAGATTTCAGACCCAAATTATGTTTTATCAGGAACTAAGTATATAATTACTTATAATTTTTTTCTCTATAGAAAAATTAGATTTTATTAAATATGATATAAAAATATTGGTGGTAAATAATTCTTAAACTCAAAACTTAAGGCAATCATATAATTAAGTTTGAACATAGCCCTTCTTCCCCTGTGTGCATTGTGCAAATCCGTTGCTGAGAGCCGCCTTCGTTTATTTGCTGAGTGTCAAGTGTCCACTACAATCTTCATGAAAGTACAAAATTGGCTGAGAATTAGAGTTTCTATCCAGTGGACAGAATGGAGAAGAAGGGCTATGTTCATTTGGAAGAAAACTAGATTAAAATATTTGGTGCTGCTCTAGTAGGTGTTATGTACCACATTTGGGAGGAAATATACAAACACATTTTTGCAGGGGAAAGCAGACAGATTAAAACAGTGGTGCCAATCATTAAACAAGAACTGTTTTGGCGCATTAAAGGGTGTTATACAAGGAAGCTTTCTAGTAGTGAAAGTGTTGGAAATTTTAGTTTGTAAAATAAAATAATTAATTTAAAAATGAAGGATAAAATTAAGTTGGTAATCCTTCACATACTTAGTGGTTATTTCCTACAAGTCAAGGGTTGTGTACTTATTTTGTATTCTTTTATTTCTGTAAATGTTGCCTATAAATAGGTGAACTAGTGTATGAATTCATTTAACTTTTGCATTCCAAAATCCTAAAGAACATTCAATATGTTGCAAATTGTATGTTCTTGTGTTCTTAAGTCCTAGAGGTAAATTGCCATTCAATCCTGTTTGCAATCTAGTGGGGGCAAATATTGTCTTAAGGGCAGTGTTTGACACGCTTAGAACACTTTCAATTCTTTGTGAATTTCCTTTAGTTGTTGAATTTCAGATTCTATCAATAAAGTTTCTTTTCTCCATCTTTGTTCTTTGGTTCATATTGGGTTGCTTCATTTGTTACCACCCCAGTTTCTTTCAATCTTAAGACAATATTTATCATAGAATCAACACAAGAGTCTGCCATGAAAGTGATGAACCAAGACTTTGTCAAGTTGGATCGTCTTGATGGATCTGGCACTAACTTTAACCGTTGGAAGGACAAGTTAATGTTCTTTCTCACGGCCTTGAAAGTGGCTTATATTCTAAGCCCCAATTTGGAGGAGATCCAACCGCCTGCGGAAGGAGAGTCTAATGCAATCAAGAAGAAGCATGCACAACGTGAGGAAGATGAGATCATTTGTCGTGGTCACATCCTCAACAACGTGTCAGATTCAGTTTATGATCTCTTCTCAAATGTGAAAAACCCAAGAGAGATTTGGGCTGCCATTGAAAGGGAGTATACAAATCAGAAACAAGGGGCAGATAAGTTTCACATTAAAAACTATTTTGAATTTAAGTTACTTGTTAATTCTCCTCTTATGGATCAAATTCACAATCTCCAAGTTATAGTTACAAAACTAAAAGACATTGGTGTTGAAATCTCAGAATCTTTGCAAGTTGGGGCAATTATTGCCAAATTACCTCATACTTGGAACGATTATCAAAAGACTGTTGCACACTTCTGAGAATTTAACTATGTCTAATGTTTTGAAACACTTGAGAATTAAAGAAGGGGCAAGACTTCTTCAAAACTTGGAAATTGGAGAAAACTCTAATAAAGTGAATTTTGTGACTGAAAATAGGGCTAACAAAAATAAGAGGAAGAAACTTGAAAATTCTAATGACAAGAAAAAGGATAAAAAAATGTTTTAACTGTGGTGTAAAGAGTCATTTTAAGGCCGATTGCAATTCTAACAAGAAGCATAAGGGAAATAACATCCCAAATGCAAATCTTGTTGAAGATAGTGCACCGGTTGTGGCGGTTATCTCGCTTGGAACCGTAACTGAGTTGAACATGGCTCATTCCAAGGATTGGTGGTATGATTCTGGGGCTGGAATTCACGTGGGCAATGACAAGGATCAGTTTAAGAACTATGTTGTTCTTGAAGGACATGAAGTTGTAATGGCAAATGGTGTTAGGGCTCAAGTTCAAGGCAAAGGAGAAGTGCATTTGTAATTCACCCGAGAAAGAAACTAGTCCTAACTAATGTACTTCATGTTCCTAGTCTTGTTAAGAACCTTGTATCAGGCGACATCCTTAATTAAAAGGGATTGAAGGCAGTCATTGAATCTGACAATGTAATCTTGTCAAAGAATGGGGTGTTTATAAGAAAGGGGTACTCTTGTAATGGCATGTTCAAGTTGAGTATCAATAAGATGAATGATGTTTTTATTTATTCGATTGAGTCTTCTTATTTTCTTTGGCATGGTAGATTAGGACATGTGAGCCATAAAGTTGTTTATTTCATGTCTAAAAATGGCCTAATCAATTTAAGTGACTTGGAAAATAAGAAATGTGAAACTTGTATGCAAGCCAAAATAACAAAGTTACCATTTTCTAAAGTTGAAAGAAATACATCTTTGCTTGAATTAGTGTATTCGGATGTATGTGAACTTAATGGATTTCTAACTAGGGGAGGTAACAAATACTTTGTGACTTTCATAAATGATTGTTCAAGATTTGTGCAAGTTTATCTAATGAAAACAAAAGATGAAGTATTTGGTATGTTTAAAGTTTACAAGTCCCTAGTTGAGAATCAATTAAGCAAGAAAATAAAAATTTTGAGAAGTGATAGAGGAGGTGAATACTTCTCGAATTAATTCTCAAAATTTTGTGAAGATAATGGTATTGTGCATCAAACTAGTGCACCTTATACACCACAACTAAATGGTTTGGCTGAAAGAAAAAATAGAACTCTATGTGACATGGTAAATGCTATGTTAGTGAGTTCTGGATTGCCAAATAATTTGTGGGGTGAAGCTTTATTTGCATGATGTCATTTGCACAATAAAATTCTGTCTCTTAAGACTAAAGTGTCACCGTATGAAATATAGAAGGGAAGAAAACCAAATCTGAATTATGTGAGGGTTTGGGGTTGTGTGGCCTATTATCGTGTCCCGGATAACAAAAGAACAAAGTTGGGACCTAGAGCACTCAAAAATGTGTTTGTGGGCTACACTGAAAATTCTAAAGCCTATAGTCTACTAGATGTTGATTCTAATGTTATTGTAGAATCAAGAGAAGTGCAATTTTTTGAGAATTTGTTTCTCAAAAATTCAAAAGTAAGTAGTGATCCTTTTTATGTGCCTAACACTACTCAAAATGTGGCAATTCCAAGTAGTTCTTCTAGTGAGCTCAAAAGGAAAAAAAATGATTCTCCTATGGAACCAAGGAGAAGTGGAAGGCAAAGGAAAGAAAAACAATTGCCTTCGGACTTTATATCTTCTCAAACTATTGTTTTCTTAGTTGAAGGCAATAGGGATTCTCTACTTAGCAAAACTCCAATTTTGCTTAGTGTGGAAGAAGATCCAAAAACCTTTAGAGAAGTTATGAATTTAAGAGATGCCACGTTTTGGAAAGAAGCAGTCAATGATGAAATAGATTCAATATTATCTAATAATACTTGGGTTCTTGTTGACTTGCCTCAAGGCTCTAAGCCAATTGGGTGTGAATGGGTATTTCAAAGGAAATATGCCACAAATGGAACTATACTTACTTATAAGGCAAGACTAGTAGCAAAAGGATTTAGGCAAAAAGAAGGAATTGACTACTTTGATACTTATGCACCAGTGGCAAGGATTACTTCGACTAGAGTAATCCTAGCCTTGGCTTCCATTTACGATTTACCAGTTCATCAAATGGATTTTAAGACAACATCCTTAAATGGTGATTTGGATAAAGAGGTGTACATGGAGCAACCGGAAGGCTTTGTGCTACGGGGTCATGAAAACAAGGTGTGTAACTTGGTTAAGTCATTATATGGACTTAAACAAGCCCCGAAACAATGGCATGAGAAATTTGAATCTTTTTTACTTTCACATGGTTTTAGATATATCATGCTGATAAATGCATTTATACTAAAGTATGTGATGAGTATACAGTGATCATTTGTCTATACATTGATGATATGCTCATTATTGGTACCACATTGAAAGGTGTGGTTGAGACTAAGAAATATCTTTCTTCTAAGTTCCAAATGAAGGATCTCGATAAAGTAGATACTATCTTAGGAATTAAGGTTAAGAAGCATAGTGAGGGTTTTGTACTCTCTCAATCACATTATGTGGACAAGATACTAACAAAGTATCAACACTTGAATGTGAAGGAAGCATCTTCTCCTTATGATCGTAGCATGAAACTTTGTGTAAATAAGGGTAAACCAATTGCGCAACTAGAGTATGCTAGTGTGATTGGAAGCCTTATGTATGCTATGAGTTGTACAAGGCCAGATATCTCTTATGCAGTATGTTACCTTGCAAGGTTTACTCATTGCCCTGGTATGGAACATTGGAAAGCTATCACTAGAGTCTTAGGATATCTTAAAAGAACCAAAGATTTGGGACTCTATTATAGCCGATTTCCTAGTGTTCTTGAGGGTTATTCTGATGCCAGTTGGATATTTGGAAGTAATGAGAAGAACTCCACCAGTGGTTGGTTATTTTTACTTGGTGGTGGTCCTGTTTCTTGGGCATCAAAGAAGCAAACACTTATAACTCATTCCACTATGGAATCCGAGTTTGTAGGTCTATCCTCAGCTTGTAAGGAGGCGGAATGGTTGAGAGATATTTTGTTAGATCTAGAAATTTGGCCAAAACCTATGCCGCCGATAACCTTACATTGTGATAGTGAAGCAACAATGTCTAGAGCATTGAACAAAGTGTACAATGGTAAATCTAGACATATCAGTATAAGACATGAATATGTCATAGAAATGTTGAACAATGATGTTGTCTCAATTGTGTTTGTTAGAACACACAAAAACTTAGCGGATCCGTTGACTAAACCTCTTGCGAGAGAGTTAGTGGTTTCGACAACATCTGGAATGGGTTTAAAACCTTGTATCTAAAATTACTAATAATGGAAACCCAATCTTCTTCTAGTACTACCCCTAGATTGAAAGGTTTAAAGGGTAATAATAAGTTGTTTAATAGTTGGGGCACCAAACCAGTGTATATATTATTCCAAAGTATTGGTGCATTATGTTACTTTTAAGTGAGCAGGTTGAGAGCAATCTCTTAATGAAATTATTCATGATTATTCAATTACAATAAAGTAATGAATTTGAATAAATTTCACCTATTTGACCATAGAAGTGGTGCCGCTTCTAGCAAGAGTTTGAGGTTATATCCTGTACATGGTCAAGAATCTAGAATGAACACATGACCGGTAATAGTGCTAAATGGTAATGTGGATTACAAGGAATGTTATGAGTGTTTGCGCGTGAACTATTAAGTCTAGACTAGACTGATTATTGGTTTAAGCAACGAGGCACCAATAACTTAGCTAGTTAGGTGACTTAATTTCACTACGACGTGATTTAAGACGAAAGTCACCACCTCTTAAGCGTGATTCTCATGATTGTGTAATTATTTTATATTACAAACTAAGTAGGCGAATGTTGAAAATTTTAGTTTGTAAAATAAAATAATTAATTTAGAATTGGAGTATGAAATTAAGTTAGCAACCCTTCACATGCTTGGTGGTTATTTCCTACAAGTCAAAGGGTTGTGTACTTATTTTGTATCCTTTTATTTATGCAAATGTTGCCTATAAATAGGTGAACTAGTGCATGAATTCATTTAACTTTTGCATTCCAAAATCCTGAAGAACATTCAATAAGTTGCAATGCATGTTCTTGTGTTCTTAAGTCCTAGAGGCAAATTGCCATTCAACCCTGTTTGCAATCTAGTGGGGGCAAATATGGTCTTAAGGGCAGTGTTTGACACGCTTAGAACACTTTCAATTTTTTTGTGAATTTCCTTTAGTTGTTGAATTTCAGATTCTATCAATAAAATTTCTTTTCTCCATCTTTGTTCTTTGATTCATATTGAGTTGCTTCATTTGTTACCACCCCCAGTTTCTTTCAGAAAGTAGTATTGAATAGACTTTTTCCAGATTATTGCGAGATGTAAATTGGTAGTAAAAGGCAGAATTTATGTAAATATGCAAGTTTTGGCTTATATATAAAGGTTTATATTTTCAAAAAAAAAACATTGTAAAATTTGAAAAATGATTAATTGTTTGCAATACTGTATACAGTTCATAAATTTGACACTTATAAGTAGGGGTGTTCACGGTCCAGATTGGTCCGGATTGATAGCAATCCGTAACCAAACCGTTCATTACGGTTTGAAAAATTTTCAATCCGTAACCGGACCGGATTAATGTGTTTGGTTTGGACGGATTGGCGGTTTGGGATTCTGATTGGACTTTTTCATTTTGGGCAAAAAGTTAAACATTTTTTTATTGTTGGACCTTTTTTGGGGACTTTTTCTGAATATTTTTGGGCCTTTTTGAGCTTTTTTTTGGAGGCTTTTCTTGAAAAAAAAATAAAATTAGTCCGTGGGGTATTCGAACACACGACCTTCAGCAAGATCTAATATAGAAGGAACAACAACAATGCCAATGGGACAACTTAGCACTTTCGATAAAAGTCTTTATCCGACGCTATATATATACAAAACTAATATATTATTATTTTATAATATATATACGGTCCGATCCGGATTGATAGACGGTTTGACAGTGCAAACCGTAATCCGGACCGGATTGACCGGTTTTCAATTTTTCAATCCGCCGGTTTAAAAATATAATTATAATCCGTCCGTTAATCCGAACCAATGACCGTACGGTTCCACCAGTTTGAGCCAAACCGTGAACACCCCTACTTAGAAGTAGAAGTATTTGTGCATTTCGATAATACGTATTTTCAAAAAAAAAAAAAATAAGTGGACTGAAAAGGAATATTTTAATGAAAATGGGATACTTAAAAACAATTTTTTTCCACCTAGTATTTTTGTCTCCACTGACGATCTCGCAGGCGGCAAAATTTCTTTTTTTTTTTTTGGTTTGTTTTTCTGGCAACTTCTCGAATTTCAAAATCAAATTTTTGATCACCGCCGACGGGACGACCACCCAAAAAAACCGCGCGATTCTATGGCAGATTCGGCGCCAAGGCGACTGCGGCTTCTTCATGCGGCGGCGTTCTTCATTTCCGCCGCCATTTTCAGCAGCTGTGTTAATTCCGACGAGGAGAAATCTCTCGTCTCGCGAATTGCCTTCGGTTCTTGCTCCAAGCTCACCAGCGCTTCCGATCAGGTAGTAGTAGTATTATAGCTTCCTTCATTATTATACACTTTTTTTTTTTCGGATCATTATGGTTACCACACATTTGAAGACGGTGAATTACTATTACTCTATATCGGCCTCTTGCTTTGGTCTGGACGAAGTGTCGAATGATTTTGCTTTTGTTTTGGTAGCTCAAATCACAATGTCTCCTTTTCCCGCAGTAGGTTGACTATTTTCATTTTGATTTTGTTTTTTTTTTTTTTGTTTAAAGAATCTGTTTTATGGAAATTCAGTCCCTTGATTTTAGAGCTCAATTTGCTATGGTGGCCTAAATAGTACATTTGATTTCTTCTTCTCTGGATTATTTGGATTTATTTTGATTTCGATTTGTTTTAGTCCCTGTAATATGAAGTCAGAACTTCTATTCCCATGGTTTTCCTTCCAGTTCCTTCTTTGGTAGCGTAATTATACAATCTATTTTTTCTTGATTAATTTGGTTTGTTTTAATCTTTTTGCCTTGGTAAGCCTCCTATATGGAATTCAATTTTGGAGTGCAATCCCCATTTATTTATCTGGTTGGGGGACAATATATACGGTGACATTCGGCGCCCCTTTAGGGTTTTTGGCAAAGAGAGAACGATTGGGCCATGGAAGAATGTTCCGCGATTTGTACCTTCATCAGAGCAGGAAATGAAAACCAAATATTCCATAGCCAAGAATGCTCCTGGTTATTCAGCTCTTCGTCACAAAAGCAAGGTATTAAAGCAAAACCAAACACCAAAAGCTACTTTGTTTGCTTGCTCTGCTTCTGTTGTTGTTAAATTGAATCAGGAATGTAATATTTGCTGTCAATTTCATGCATATTACAACTACTATTTCTCCTAAGCTGCCTTCTGGGCAGTCATCTTTTTCCTCCCTTCCCACAAAATGAATGTAATGGCAAACCTGTTATAGCTGCCTGATATATTAACCCATCCTACTCGTTAATGACTTCCCATCACCTGTCCCAACTGAATAATCATTCGAAGAATTTGTGCAACAGTGCAATCCAATCAGGATAGCGATCAGTTATTTAGGCCCTCTATTTTATGCAGATGTTGGTTAGAACGAATTAGTTCACCCCTATGATTATTCAATTTGTACAATCTTCTCTGTTATAGACGATGCATGATAAACTCTTATCCTATCTAATTTTCTGAAATTTGGCCCCAATTATTGGACGTGGTTTACTTAATAAATACTACAGCTGAACTGACATTGCATACACCTTAGTCATAGTGAAGCTTTGGCTTAGTTTCAATAGTGGGGGACACAGCCAGTAAACTTTGATAGGGATAGACAAAACTCAACAGATCTTATCGATTGATGAATTCAACTTATTCTTGATGATTAAGTCAATAATCTGCAGGTTATTGGAACTTGGGACGATCATGATTATGGGTTGAATGATGCTGGAAAAGAATTCGGTGCCAAAGATACTAACCAAAGGCTTCTCCTGGATTTCTTGGATGAACCCCTCGATAGTCCACGGTTAGATTGCCACTCTGTACAATCAGTAGTTTTTTATTACTAGTTGCGCATATACATTACACTATATGCACCATCCACAATACTTCTTTTACATAGCTTCACTGCTGCTGTATTTCCTACTGTTATACCAATTCAGCTCTCTTTTTACCCTCTGACATTGTGACAGACGCAAACAAGCTGGTGTATATGCGTCATACACATTTGGTCCTAAGGGTAGACAAGTAAAGGTATAATCGTATAAGAGCTATAAATGCTTATGATGCATATTTGAGATTGTGATTTATGTTTGTTGAGACTGTAATTTTATTGATTCATTACTCACTTTCATTTCTTTAATAACAAAATTTTACTTTTGCAGGTTATTCTTTTAGATACTAGGTACCACAGAGACACTCTATTTAGTGATGGAAATGTCCTAGGAGATTTGCAATGGAAATGGTTGGAGGAGGAATTACGAGGTCCTGCCACAGCCATAACTATTGTTGGATCTTCTATCCAGGTAGGTTCATTTGTCTCTTCGAGAGAGACATATTGCGATTTCTTGTTAATTCATTATTGGAAATATACTTGTATGATCCATGTAATTGAGAGATTGGTTATTTTGCTTTCTCTACCTACCATCGGTTTTCATTCGTTATTTTTGACTTCTGGGATTGAGTACAGTGATTTCTCTTATGTTTTTTTCTCTTATATTTGGTTTGTGTTACAGTTGAGAAATATTTTGTGATAATAACTTTGGATTTGAATTATGTGAATAATATTGTATGTCCAGAATGTGTTGTTGTGGAGATGCTTGGCAATTTGAAATTTCTGGATTAAAGTGAAAAGTTTGGTTGGGAAGGATTTCGATGACTGGGTATCATTTTATGTGTTTAGCATTTCTACATTAGGGGGTGGCTGAGATTCAGTTGACATTATTTTTCTTTTCTTGAAGATTTTTACTCAATTAAGGGCTTGAATGTGCATCAATTCAGTTGATTTTAGGATTTCTTCTGACATCCATTGATGTTTGGAGATCTTCCAGTTGCTCAAGTTTAGAAATATTAGGCTACTTGAATCTTTTATCCTTTGGCTTCCTTTTGTTGCTTTATAAGTTACTTTGTCGTGATATGTTTGTAGATGTGGGCCTGCATTTCATTCACAAGCCTCAATTGAATATAAGCAACAGCATGGGTTATAATAAACCTAAAAGCTATTTCTTTTCATACATGCATCGCTCCTATGCCATCGTCGAGATTGATAAGACCCTAAGCATTTCAGATGCATACACATTCATCACTCAAGTTACTGTTTGTATTTGAAGAAAAAAGAACAAGTTACTGCCTGTATTTGTCTCTAACCATGTCATGTAGAACCAGGAATCATAGTTGGATTCAGAAAAGGTGTTAAGTAAAAAAACACATCTTAGATACATTGAATGTATTATAAAATTTATTTGCTTTTCCAGTTTCTTATTCTCAAAAAAATTCACTGCAGAAATAAATAAAAGACTTGAAAGTCCACTAAAATATCAGCATTTCCTAATTTATTATCTGTCTAGATCACCCTAGTCTTAACGCTGCTCCTACTTTTTTCAGGTCATATCGAACCTATCGGCAATGACTGGCCCTTTGTTTTACATGGAATCTTGGGGTCGTTTTCCTCGAGAAAGAACTCGACTTTTTAAGTTGATATCTGATAGTAAGGTTATTGTTTCCTGGTTATGAAAAGTTCATTCCTTTTTTCTCTTGAACTAAATAAGTGTTCTGTTGTCCTTTTGATTTCTAGCTTAATGACTCCATAGAAGGACTCAGCATTTTTAAAACTTTTTAATTTGATTTAATTTTGTACTGGGAATTCGAATTGATCTTTTTTTCATCCTTTTCAAACAGAGGGAAGGGGTATTCTTCATTAGTGGAGATGTTCATTTTGGGGAGATTACTAGACATGATTGTGCTGCTGAATACCCATTGTATGATATAACATCTAGTGGGATTACCCAGGGGGTGGAAAAGGCTGTCCCGCCTCCGCTTAATTTGCTGGTGAGATTTGTGGCACGCCTGATTCCAACTACTATGAGAGTGATAGATAGAAGCTGCCGATACAGTTCGTGTACATATGGTACAATATCACTTCTACTTTATTCAATGACTGATACTAAACATTTTAAGGTGGTTAATGTTAGATGTTGCATGTTCCTTAGGGAAGCCGAATTTTGGAACTATTGAGATAGACTGGGATGCTGATCCGGTAAATTTGAAATTCAAAGTGAGGGATGAGAAAGGAGAACCTGTTATTGGAATAGATGTCTCTCTTTCGCAACTCAAAGCCCATTCAACGGAGTCTAAGTTAACTGAGAAAGAAGGGAAGTATAAGAAATACTGTACGCCTGAGGTCGAGCTGTCCTGGATTGTCCGACATCGTTTAGTTATCTTGTTCTCTATTGCTTTTGCAGGTACTTTTCTTTTTCTTATTTTTTCAGCAATTCATCCTAGACGGGCTTTACCTAGCAAGTTAGTTTGAACTCCTTGAAGCTGATGAAAAGTTTATAAATCCTAGTTGTCAGATGCACTATGGATGCAAACAAATTTGTCTTTTTCTTTTTTTATTACCAAAAGTACCTTTCCTAAAGAGGTAATAAGGATCGCCTTAGATATTTTTGGTAAAATACAAAAATTTGTTTAGGATCCTAGTTCTTGTTTAGGCAATAAGGATTGCCTTAGCAAACTTATAAATCTCAATGTAAGAAGCATGATTAGGTGGTTTCTAAGTTTTTAATATCTATTCTATTTTTCAATTATTTTTAAACTTTTTTAATGTATTTTTGCATCACCAAGAACTAAATTACACAATCTCCCACATCTTAGGTTGTATGTGCTGGATTGATTTATCAACATATTTATTACTTAAGCTGTTATGACATCTGTTTTTCATTTTCATGTGCAGTGGTGCTGCTTTCTTTCATGGGTGTATCGGTTGCTGTCATATTATTATGTGTCCGGTGCTTCCACAAATGTAAGGTTGATTGATGAATTGGTAGTTTGACGTTGAATCAGTCTTGCTTTGCTCATAGATATATCAAGTTGAAATAGTTTTCCACTGTTTTATACACTATTGATGTTCCCTGCGTACGGAGGAAGCATTACGCTTAAACACTTCTTAGCTAAAGTAATTACTGGGCAATGGCCCATCTTAATCTGCTCATGAAGGAGCTGCAAAACTTGTGACTACCTAAGGGAAGCTTGTGTCGAAATGAGGCTTTGCATCGGCTGCTATGTTTTCTTCCCAGTGTAGGTGTGAATAATCTGCACACTCTGGTGGAGCCTGAGGAGTGCTTTAATTCTGTTATAAAAGGGTGCTGTTCACCCACTCATCATTGTCATCCCGCAAAAGGTCAGACTGCCTCTTTCCTCTCCATCTCAAGCTGGTATTTCTTGTATTCAGATTTCCACCCTTTATATTTTGAAGCCCTAAAAGCTCCCAAAAGAGATGTAGACTGGTAACGTTCAATATCTAATCAAACGTATGAAAAACTACAAGCCCAGACTGGTGATGCTAGTACGTGGGTGTATTCATCGGGTTTGACTCTTGTAAAAGAATTAAAACCTGTAACTGATCAAACAGTGATCTTTCTATGGGTGAATCATGAAAATTTACGTGTAGTTCTGTTAAATGAATGGTTTTAGTCAATGATTCATAAGTTACAATCAATGTTTACATAAATAGAATGTGACTGAAGTGCGCTTTATGCTAAAGCCAACACGAGATTATCAACCTATACCTTGAAGCCCAACATCTATTAGTCAACTTGCTGTATTGCAATGCTGTTGTACCATTGGCAGATGTTACAAAATTTACCTTGTGTGGTCGGTTTACCTTATAGTTTTTATGGTTATTTTTGTGAGACAAGAATTTTTATTTTTTTTTAGCATAATTTTACACATCTTAGCCAAAAAAATAAAATAAAAATAATAACACATAACGAATGGAAATGACTAATTTTGGGAATAAATTTAATTTTGGGAAAATGGAAATTGCACCTTCAAATGATTTTTGAAGTTTTGTGCTATGACAAATACAAACGAGCTGGTTGAAGTCGCAAATGTGAGAGATCGATGAATCAAACTAGCCATTAATCATATTCACAATGAAAATGAATTTCTTACTTCATTTTTTACTTCGCGATGAAGTTTTCAAGCAAAACTACAACTCATGTTGTCGATGATAATCTTTGCAAAAGTTAATGGAATTTGCGGCTGGTAAAATAAAATGAAAAAAGCAGTGTGTAATATATATTTGGTTCTCTAGAATACCGTATGGAATTTTGGAAAGCATATCTTTGATGCGAGACTGTATCCAGTGTACCCGGGTGTACCGTATACCCCCTACTAAATACACGTGCAACACGCGCTCAACTATTTTTACCTTTACATTAAATGCACACACAAAATTATTTTCATCCATTTCATCCTCACGCACAAACACACACAAACACACAGTCGACGGAAACTCTCCATTTTAGGGCAAATACAAAATTGACCACCACCACAAAATTACAGAAAGTCGACGGAAAACCTACGCTAGAAGACGATTTTGATAACTTCATCTTCTCCTGCGTTTTTTTCCTTTTGTCAGTCTGTTCTTTCACAAACATACACACACACACACACACAGACGACAGCGAGAAAACCCTACCTCCGGCCATCTCAAGCTATCCTTCATCTATACATGCTTCACTGATAAGTATATTACTCCGGGATCCTATTTTTTTGATTATCCAGGAATATTTTGTGTTTATCCACTAGATCTGAACTAGTTATCCATGGTTTCCTACGGATGCTATGTGATGGTTGTCCATGCCATAATTGTTGGTTATCCACTTAGCATATTGGTTATCCACCTATTTCATTCTGGTTATCCACAAGTTGTAAACTGGTTATCCATGCTTTTTTTACATTTGATTCTATGTGGCATGGACAAACTGAACTGGTTATCCATGTTTTTGTATTTTTTTGTTATTGGTTAGCCACTATATATCTGAACTGGTTATCCAAGTTTTCCTGCGTGTGTGCTATGGAGTACTTGTCCAAACTTTGTTTCTGGTTATCCATCCATTTTATACTGGTTATCCGCAAGGTGTAAACTGGTTATCCATTTTTTTTAGATGTGCTTTTATGTGGCTACATGTCCATACATTATTTACTGGTTATCCACCCATTTCATACTGGTTATCCACAAGTTGTAAACTGGTTATCCACAAGTTGTAAACTAATTATCCACAAGTTGTAAACTGGTTATCAACAAGTTGTAAACTGGTTATCCATGCTTTTTTTACATTTGATTCTATGTGGCATGGACAAACTGAACTTGTTATCCACTATATATCTGAACTGGTTATCCAAGTTTTCCTGCGTGTGTGCTATGGGGTGCTTGTCCAAACTTTGTTTCTGGTTATCCACCCATTTTATACTGGTTATCCGCAGGGACTAAACTGGTTATCCATTATTTTTTTTAGATGTACTTTTATGTGGCTACGTGTCCATACATTATTTGCTGGTTATCCACCCATTTCATACTGGTTACTGCTCCTTTTCATATCCTGCTATTTTGTCCACTGACTTCTTAGTGATTGTCCAATGCCAACAGTGCCCTAAAGGAGGCTAGAACAAAATATAGGCACGAGTGAATCAGCGCAAGCCACGACCTCAACTGCAACCCAGACAGATCACCGGATCCTGAACCAGAGATAATAATGGAGCTTCCTGAAGGAACACTGACCATATTTAAAAATCAAAAATCAACCCAAGAAGAACAGTCCCCTGGTGAAAGTCCAAGGCCCCACAACTTGCTGAGAAAACTAAAGAAGAAGAAGAGCACACCGACAGTAAATTCAAAGCAACTTGTGGTTGCTAATGACAATGATGATAAAAAGCCCCAAAAAGAAAAGAACAAAACCTGAGAACAACAAACTGATGATTGGTCAAGATCCACAGCCAATCAGTTCTGAAAATTCTGTCAAGAAATTTGAGACCAGGATGACACCAAACCATCTCTTCCAACTCATCACTGAAATCAATAATCCAACAGATCTTAAGGAAGAGCTAGATGCGATAGATTATCGCCAACTACAAAGGCAGGCTATCAGAGATATGGGATTTGGCGCCTTGCTGGATCTCAAAATCAAAAATATTCCAACAACCTTATGTAGTTTTCTGGCAAACAATTTCCAGACCGGTGCGAGACAAGTCCCATTGAATGGGAACAATGTACTGGATATCAAACAAGAAGATGTTGTTGCTGTACTTGATCTTCCTCGTGGACCCAAACCAGTGGAAGAATTCAAACAGAATGATCCCGCTATAACGGTCCACGCTGAGATAGTGGATGCATTCAAGAAAAGAATAGGATACAATAATAAATTCCTGCCAACGAGATCCACAGCGGCACAATTAATTGCTGGTCGAAAAGATTTTGGTGATGACTTCAAACAAGATTTCCTGATCTTCGTTGTGAGCACATTCCTACATGGAAACACCACTTCCATGATCACAATGAACATCCTGAAGTCCCTCGTGAACATCAATGAGGTGACACAATACAATTGGTGTCAAGATGTGATTGATGCACTTGTCAAAGGATGCAAAAGTCACCACGATGGGAAACCATTCACCGGACCAATCACTTTTTTTTCTGGTACTCACCATATCCGTACAAATTTTACTAGTTATCCATATTGCTTGCAATGTTTATCCAATTTGCTTGTACTGATATCATTAACACCAACTTTTTTTCTTTTTTTTTGTTAGTTGTGCTACCTTGACAGGTGTGAGTATGAGAGAGCACATCCTAGGTCATTCCCTGTGATCAAATGTTAGGATCAAAAGATGCTAGACGACAGATTAAGACTTCAGGGAAGCAATTTCACAGATGTCCAGACACTTGAACATCTCAAGAAACCGTCCTCAGCAGCATCCCGAGATGAACACCCAGAGGGGGAATCACAGAAGGAGGATACACAGGCCAACCCTAACACACAACAAGTCTATGTAGTGTTCTACCATTTTTTTTTTCAGATTACACCTATGTATCCAACCTAGCATCTCCACATTCCACTAACTACATTCACTTTTGCAGGACCTTACTGCTCTTTATGAAAAATTCTACCAATTGATCATCACGATGAGCAAAACTGTTTTAGACATACGTGAGAAGGAAATGGAGTTAAAAATCAAACCACATGAACAAGCAAAGCAAACAATCAAGATCCTAACAGATGCAATGGTGTCGATGAGTAGAAAGATGCCTCCGCCTTCAGGTAGAACGCAACACCAACAAGAGCAGCAGCAAGACCAGCAAGACCTCCAGGATGCACAGATTTTTGAATTGTGCGAGATGGCATGGAAGGCCGCTGAAAGCATATTTGCAACAATAATAGAACAGCTTCAACGACAAGTAGCTGACCAATAACAACAACAACACCAACAAACTGATGACAACATTGTACAAGCTCCAATTAATCCCACAAATTTTCAAGACATTAAAATTGACAAAGCACAAGGACTGGAGCAATTGAGCCAGACAAATGATGAGGATTCTCTTCCAGTGGGGAAATCCGTGCCTACTTCAAAAGAAGTGGTGGTTGATGAACAACAAACTCAACCACAAGGTAATGAACATTTTTTTAATAAAATAAATACTTGTTTGATGTGATTGTACTTGTCATCCAACTAATTTGTACTGCTTTATCCAACCCCTTTTTTCCCTTTAAATGGTTACCCATTGTGTTCCTGCCGATTATCCGGCCTGTTTGAACTGATTATCCACTTCGTTTGACTAGTTATCCAATGTGTCTAATTTGTACTGCTTATCCAACCCCTTTTTTCCCTTTAAATGGTTATCCATTATGTTCCTGCCGATTATCCGACCTGTTTGAACTGATTATCCACTTCGTTTGAACTGGTTATCCAATGTGTCTAATTTGTACTGCTTATCCAACCCCTTTTTTCCCTTTAAATGATTATCCATTGTGTTCCTGCCGATTATCCGGCCTGTTTGAACTGATTATCTACTTCGTTTGAACTGGTTATCCAATGTATCTAATATATATGTATGTTCGTACTGATTATCCAACATTCCAACTTTGTACTGCAGCACATGGAACGAATATCTCCACAACGGAAAAGAAGAGATCCCATCAAGATTCCACCGGCCGGGATTCAGGTTTGACATCCACCTATACTAGAAGGTCGAGAAGCACTGGTACCAGGAAAAGGAAAGTATTCAAAGACCCAACTATCCCACACTTTAACCTGGGTATCTTCTCCAGTCAGGAAGACAGTTACGAGACAACCCAGGAGAAGAACACTGAGGAAGATATCACAGGAAGTGTTGATTTAGATAAAGATGTCAATGAGACTATAGAAGCAGAAGAATATCCAGTACCATCTGCACTCGACGAAACAAAGAATCCCACTCCTTCCATCGATGAAATCATAAGAAGGGCCAGTGCACCAGCTTCAAAATCATTAAGTGATACCAAAAAACTAGAGATGATTGCCGCTGCTGCAGAACAAGTTGAGAAGAACTCAAAGGTGGTTGAAGCAGTCCCTTTAAGCATAATTCCACCCGATTGGAATATTGCTTCTACCACGGGTGGTCTATTGATGCTGGAGAAAAATGAGTGTACCACACCACTGTCTGCAATCTCAAAGGAAGCTGATGAGCTTGATGAAGAGTTAATAAAGACAGTGGAAAAGTAAGTTTGATCCACTGTGACTCCCCACTACAAAATAGAAAGACAAATTTACATACTAACTCTCTTTTGTTTTGTCCTAGGACCCTCAATGAAAAACCTAAGAGGAGAAATCCACCAAGAGTCCACCGGTTGCTCGAACGGTTCAGGTCGCCGTTCATGCTGCAGAAGAAAAACAAGAAAAAATTCATACAGTGGACAGAGGAGAAGAAGAAAATGACCCAAGAAGAAGCCATGTTGATAGACTTCGCTCTCCTACAAAGACAAGAAGAAATAGTTAAATCAGGGTAAAAGTCACCATCCTTACCCGTGGGATAAAAAACTTACCAATTTCCAACTATTTGTCTATTTGACTACTTTTTCTATGCAGGAAACTCTTGTTTAAATTTGGAAAAATCGTTTGGGCAGACAGGATAGCTTTCTATTCCATGAGGGAAGGGAAATGGATAGAAAACAGCATCATAGATGCTTGGGCTGTCATCCTAAACAAAGAAGAAGCTAAGAGTGACTCCCCAAGACGGATATTCTTTGGTGTTTCGTCATTTGTAAGTCAACTAACCCTTATTGTTTATCCCGCCCTGGTAAAATACTTGTCACATGTCTGCAAGTTGTTGTTTATCCAGCCATAACGGGTGGTTATCCAGAATGTGTAAACTAGTTATCCAGAGATAATTGCTGGTTATCCACAATGTGTAAACTAGTTATCCAGCCATAACGGGTGGTTATCCAGAATGTGTAAATTAGTTATCCAGCCATAACAGGTGGTTATCCACAATCTGTAAACTAGTTATCCATGCCTTTCTTTAGTTGTGCTTCTATGCGGCTGCTTGTCCATACATTATTTGCTGGTCTAGTTATCCATCATTGTTGTATAACTTACCTACCTATAAGTAATCATCAGGAAGATCATGCATGACCACTAATACTTATTATCCAATTTGTTACTAATGGTTGTTCACCAGAGTTGAACTGGTTATCCAAGCCTTCTATCTGGTGGATTGTCCATTATTCATTTGCTAGTTATCCATCTGTTCTGTACTACTTATTCACAAGATCTGAAATGGTTAACCATTCCTTCTTGTGTGTCATGTAGGGTACATTTGGTTGACCTTGTATGTGCTTGATTCCGATCATTGTTTTCTACTGCATTTTTCAACCATTGTACTGATCATTGTATCATTTTCCAACCATCTCAAACAATAACGCAGGATACAATCAGTCGATACTATCAACAGGGCAGTAACAAAGAGGAAATCGAGTTCACATTCTATGAGAGGTTGGGTCTTGAACTAGAAGAACAAGGCCTCACTGTAGCATCCCTGTTAGCGGCAAAAGCTGTAAGCAACATCTTTGACCTCCTTCACTCTTTCTACAACTGGCTGTTAAAAATTTTCATATGATTTCCCCCTTCAATGTGAAATATCAGATCTACTTCCCAGTACACTACCGAGACCATTACTTCTTGTATGTGTTGCTGGTTGAAGAAAAGAAAGTGCTTCTCCTCAACAATATTCATGCAAAAGATCTGGACTACTACAAGCCAACGAAAGATCTACTTGTGAGTGAAAAAAAGATACAAAATGATTGTCATAGTTTAAGAATTATCCATTGCATTTTGTTGATCCTTGGATTTTATGGCATCACAGTTTCGGTTCTTCCAAAGCTACGTTGCATGCGTGTTTCCACGCATAGAACTGGTCAGTGCTCAGTACACCTTCACAGAGGTTACGCTACCATCGCATAAGGACAAAAGGCTGAATGCGGAAGATTGTGGAATATACACAATGCACCACATGGAGCGGTATGATGGTGGTGAGTACGAAGATGGTACTACTTTGGATTTCAACACAGGAAACATCAAAGAGTACCGGTGGAAATACATGATAAAAATCCTTATGCACCCAGCCAACAAAAATAAGGACAAAATCCTCGAAGCAATGCACCAGTTCTATACAAATACTGCTGAAGAAGAACAAAAAGAAATTCCAGATCATGTTGATTTGAGTAGCAAATCTTACTATAATGACAGAAAAATTCATGGATAGGTTAAATGAACTGTTATTATGTTCTCTTGTATAATTGATTGACTGTTGATCCTAAAGTGTTTGATATCCAACAGCTGTGTACTAGCCATCCTAGTATATTATCCAACCGTTTGTAATGGTTATCCATGATCTTTGTACTAGTTATCCAACTTGTTACACCTGATTATCCGAATGTTTTATAGTGATTATCCAGTCAAAAAAATGCAAGTACATTCTTTAACCTGATTATTCAAAAAGACATAACAAAAGAAAATATCCATAAGAAAATAACAAGAAAATGTATTAAACTGAGTGTCCAAATATTTCTGTAAATTCCCAAACAAAAAAAACTGAGTGTCCCAATTTATTGGTCTTTCTACTTCTTTATTAAACTGCTTATCCTATGATGTTATCCTGCTTACCCAATATTTCTTTGCTGATTATCCAATGCTCTGTATTGATTATCCAGGACTTTTGTACTGGTTATCCAGCCAATGTGCAGTAATATCCAACCGTTTGTAATGGTTATCCAGGATTTTTGTACTAGTTATCCGACTTGTTACACCTGATTATCCGAATGTTTTATAGTGATTATCCAGTCAAAAAAACAAGTACAGTCTTTAACCTGATTATCCATGAGTTTATACTTGTTATCCAAAACCTCAATACTGCTTATCCATATGTAACCAATGCCTATCCACCTTGTGGACATAACAAGGATTCAGAGAAGACTTCCAAAAAGACATAACAAAAGAAAATATCCATAAGAAAATGGCTACCCAAACGGCATGTTCATTGGGGGGCTTCGCCCCTCATGATAAACTAAACGACTCCCGCGGCTACCGGAATCGCAGGTCACTAACCTGCCCTGGCTGCGCTGCCCCGCCGAACACGCCAATGTAGCTAAGGTAATCCTTTTTTCGTGTGTGTGTAAGGAGAGTGTGTTATTGCGTTAAGAGGGTACACAAATTACTTATACAAATCCCCCCGTGATAAACTAAACGACCCGACTGCACGGGTGCCCGCGGCTGCGCCGCCTTTTGCGACTGTGCCGCCCCCATGCCGAACATGGCAAATTTCATAAATAGTATTTAATTGAATGAGGGGCAGTTTGCCAAATGATGGAGAACAAAAAATGAATGAGGGGCAGCTGGATAACCAGTGTAAAAAATACGGACAAGGATATCCAAGAAAAATATAAAAGGAAAAAAATGATAGTCTACATTATCAACACTGATTATCCAACAGGTTAATAATGGTTGCCCAATGTGTTAGTAATGATTATCCAAACGGTTTGTAATGCTTATTGAATTTTTACTTTGTTTTTATTTTTTATGAAAAATGCTTGTCCATAGTGTCAACACTAGTTATCCAGCTGTGTATAACTGGTTATCCATAGTGTGCACACTGGTTATCCACTATGTCCATACTGGTTATCCAACAGGTTAATAATGGTTATCCAGTCATTTTCTAATGACATTCAAACTTGTTTGCACTGGTTATCCAAAATGGTTATCAGAACTTGCCCAATGTGTTAGTACTGATTCTCCAAACGGTTTGTAATGCTTATTGAATTTTTACTTTGTTTTTATTCTTTATGAAAAATGCTTGTCCATAGTGTCAACATTGGTTATCCAACTGTGTGTAACTGGTTATCCATAGTGGGAACACTGGTTATCTACTATGTCAATACTGGTTATCCACAGTGTGGAGCATGTTACTGTGTATAACTGAAAAGCCACACGTTTTGTAATTAAATAGAATTTAAAAGATTGAGGGAGTAAAAATAAAAAAATAAAAAAGAAAACTGAAAAGGCTCATGTTTGTGCAGAGTACATCATGATCTAATGGGTAGTTACAGAGCCACACGTTTTTACATGGAATGGATTGAATAAGGATCAGTTACATAACTGTGATTAAATGAGTTTCTTGATTATCACAATGACAGTTAATGAATAGATAGTGAGAAGACACTGATTTGTGAAAAAAGATAGGACTGCATGGGTAGTAAATCTGTCAAACTACCTTTGTATAAACTACCTCATCTCCACATACAGCATTTTTATAGAACTCCCTGACATCTCCGCATACAGCATTTCTATAAAACTCCCTCATCTGCACATACACCAGAACGCCTGATTTGAGCATCCAAAACATCCAACAGCCAGATAAAAAATGAAAAACGAAAAAATTTTCTCAAATTCCACAACCAAACAAATGTCCCCCAGGCAAGCAAAGCAAGAAAAGAACAACTACCCTGAATATATCCATCACGATATGCTTGATAATATGTTCAGTAATCTGACATTTGAAAAGATTGGTGAGTTCCGTCATGTCAGCAAAGCTTGGGAGCAAATAACGAAAAGAAGAGAATTTTTTCTTAAAAAACGTGAGATGAGCTACCCTGCAATTGAAAACAACATCCTTGTTTTCACTCAAACAAGCCAAGAAGGTCACCTGTTGCAAGAAAAACTAATCGCCACCAACATAAAATTGCAAATGGATAATCCATGCAACCACATACGATTGCAAGAAGAGATGTCGATGGGTGACGACGGCATCCATAAAATCATGCCTATCACCACAGATTTGGTCTGTCTGCAAACCAGGTCTCAAATCAAATTCTTGAACCCAAAGACAACACAACTTGCATCAATTGAACGGCCATATGATGTCCCTCTCAGCAATTGTGAAACAACATTTGGGTACGTATCATCCTCAAAAACTTACGTTTTCATGGCCCTTATTGCCAATGGAAAAAACATACAAGGATGCATTTTTTCTTTTCAAAATCAAAGTATTCATAGAGGGGAATGGAAAACACTTTGCAATGTATGTCCTCACCTTGTATCTGATGGAACCTGGTTTGATAGATTCGTGTACTGGCGTGTAGAGAAACTATCCTCTGAAATAGCAACACCTCAAGAGTTGCTAGTCGTATTTGACTACCACACTCAACAATTCCAAACCATAAACTGCCCTCCATCTCCAATCTTCTTTAACCCCACTGATCCTTATCATATGAATCTCCAAGTGAAAATATTGGACTTCCAGGGGACTTTGTGTGTAATAGATGAGTACCACATTACTCAGAATCATCACTGTCAGATTGGGCATGGGATCCAGATACTTGCACATGGGATTTCATGTTTGAGACCCATGAATTCCCAAATGTGAACACACACGTTCCACACGGATTACAGTTCCGTCATGATTGGCTTTATCCAGTGTTTCTAAGCCACAAATTATCTCCAGCGGGATAGTTCATTGTCAAAGGATACGATAATCGACATTTGCTGTTGTATAGTGTTCCTACCAGGAAAATCACACACTCAAGTACATCGCCGGATCTAGAAACCAGTTTCATCATTACAGCATGTTACTTCTGGGAATCATTAACACACTTTTAGGACTTTTTTTTTAAAAAAAAAATTATCTTTCCCTTGTTAACTTATTACTGAAAATAATTGTCCCTTGTTATCCCAGGACTTTGTACTAATTATCCAGATTATCTATGCTTGTTATCCAATGATATTATTTGTGAAGAAAGCGTGTTTAACGTGTTCATGTCTTTTTTGTAATATCTATATGCATTTAAAGTTGCATATCCGATACAGGCGAGTTGGATATCTAATATAGACGAGTTGGATATCTGGTACAAACGAAATGGATATCCAGTACAAATGAAAAGGATATCCAGTACAAACAAGTTTGATAGACATACAAACCAAATCGGAGGATATCCAGTACAAACAACTTGGATAACCAATTCAAACTGGTTGGATAATTACCATGAACACAACGGATAACCAATTTAAAATAACCATTTGGATAACCAGTACAAACAAAATGGATAACCAGTTCAAACTGGTTGGATAATACTGCAATTTAAAATAAATAATATTTTTTAAATAAAAATCTTTACACCATCAATACTGTTCATTTCAACATCAAGTAAAACTACTAATAAAACATCTTATTGAAGAGACGCTGCGCTCCAGCCTCCCTGACAGCTTCCTTTCGGTTAGGAAATGAGAACCCACCAAAGTTTTGATTCATAAATGTCATGTTTTGATGAGAAGCATTCACAGCAATGGAAGTGCTTGCGCCTTGAAACTCCTGGCCAGCTCCCTTGGGAATTGGAAATGAGAATCCACTGGAATTTTGGTTGATGAATGGCATGCTTTGATCAGAAGCATTCACAGAAGTGGAAGCCCCTGCCCCTGAAAAATCCTGGGCAGCTACACTTGGATTAGTCAATGAGAATCCATCAGAATTTACGTTCAAAGATGGCATGCTTTGATGGGAAGCATTAACAGCAGCAAAACTTCCCGAGCCTGAAAAATCTTGAGCAGCTCCCTTTGGATAAGGAAATGGCATGCTTTGATAATGCAGGTCTGATGCAACTGAAGCTCTTGTTCGGTCAGCAGCAATTCTTGCGTTTGTTTTCCTGCCTCTGACTTTGTTACATGCCTTCTCAACAATGCTTTTAGGACGTTCGTTCCTGGGACCAAACTTCTTCCTCTTGACAGTCGGATTCTTTATAACACCATCATTATCTACAGACTCATCATTATTATTTGAACCAATGAAAATGCCGAGTTCTTCTTTAAGCCTGTCAACTGCCTTGTCACAACATTTCTTTGCATCTTTGTTATATCACTTGCATACTCCAAGTCTGAAAATCGTCTCATAATTAGTGCCTTCCACAGCAATGGCCCAGCAGCTTTTCCATCTCCCTCATTAGCTATGCTCGACCTGGCACCATAACCTTTTGTCCATCTCATACATATCTTTAGGAAACTCATCAACAGAGGTTACATGACAGATTCGAAGAATGTGGCAACAAAGCATGCCCACCTCAGAGTAGTACCTGCACGTGCATGAGAATCTCTGTAACCTAGTGTCATGTACAACCACATGCTTAAAGTGCTCTATCCTAAACCGCCAAACATTGTACGTCACAATATTGCCATCATTTGAAACCTCTAACTGCTCCTGCCTGCACAATATCCCATCTTTGTGCAACTGCTGAACCTCCCGAAATGCTTCAACTGTGTACACTCTGCGAATGCTCTCCGGGAAAGGGTTACCAGGAAGATATGAATTGATGTTTCCCTGGCTACAGTGTAGATCTTCACCCCTCACAGCTACCCGCCAACAGTGTACAACATCAGAGAAAATTCCATGAAAATCACAAAGCGATGATGTGGCCTTCATTTTACAACAAATTGCATTATTTGTTGACTCGCTCCTCTGTGAAGACAAGGTACCACCAGAAAAAACATCTTTACTAAATGCAGGACACCACATATGCCTCACATCATAAATACCATTGAGCCATTTGTCATCATGACAATCATACTCATCCAATAATCTGTGCACAACAATATAAAACACATGCATAAAAAGAAAAATAATTAGATTATCCATATAGATCCACAAAGAAACATGTATATCATTAGGCTTTCTACTGTTTATCCAGTAATCATTTACAGATTATCCAAAACATGCTACTGTCTATCCATCAGTAACCCCTTTAAACCCCTGCAATAATTTCCTAATGCTTATACAAAGGATTTCTACTAGTTATCCAGCCATAACGGGTGGTTATCCAGAGATAATTGCTGGTTATCCACAATGTGTAAACTAGTTATCCAGCCATAACAGGTGGTTATCCAGAATGTGTACTTATCCAGCCATAATTGCTGGTTATCCAGAATGTGTAAACTAGTTATCCAGCCATAACAGGTGGTTATCCACAATCTGTAAACTAGTTATCCGTGCCTTTTTTTAAGTTGTGCTTCTATTCGGCTGCTTGTCCATACATTATTTGCTGGTTATCAATCATTGTTGTATAACTTACCTACCTATAAGTAATCATCAGGAAGATCATGCATGACCACTAACACATAACCACACAACCAAAAAAATAAGAGACACTCTTAATCATGGCAATGATCAAAATAATAATAAAAATATTGACAAACTGACCTCCTCCATAATACCTCGAACTCGATTTCTGTTGAAGTGTATTTAATCAGATAATTAAAGTTCTTAACAAAATCTGGTTTGTTCCTTAAATGACCAATTCGCTTTGTTGAATTTTCACCTATGTGCCATACACAGAGACGATGCCGAGAAATTGGAAAACATGTCCGAATACTTGCAACAATGGAAGGCGCTTGATCTGTCATTATGGTTTGTGGCTGCTTATCTCCCATTGATTTCAAAAACTGCTTAAACAACCAATCAAAAGAGGGTTCTTTCTCGTTTAACACAAAACCACAACCAAACATGACATTCTTGTTATGATTATCCATACCCACAAACGGAGCACAGATCATTCCATATCTGTTTGTTCGATACGTTGTATCAAACACAAGCAAGTCACCAAACAAATCATAATCCTTTCGCATTCTGCCATCCCTCCAGAAGAAAATACACAGCCTACCCTGCTCATCACAGTCAAAATCAAAGAAGAAATCTTCTTCAGTTTCCTTCCTGTCCCAAAAAATCTTCATGAGCTGATTACAATCGCCACCTTCAAATCCAACACTAGGATGCTCATAATTGTAGGCATCTCTCAAAGTATACTTCATGTTCGGACTTCCCCCGTGTAATTTTGCCACAAACTTATATGCATCAACCAAAGGGATGCCACTCCTTGTCATGTCTCTGATTATCTTCATATCATTTTCATCTACTTCACGTTGAGATCGAAGAAGTCCAATCATTTCATTCGGCACAAGATCATGATTGTGATCAACCAGATGCTTTGTACATGTCCACAAGCCATCTTTGTCAACAGTATAATGGATATAAGCTGGACACCCACACCAAAAGTTAATCCTCTCATGGCACACATCACCATTTCCACTGGATCTCTTGTATCCTTCGCAGTTACAACCGAATTTCTTCATCCTAACTTTATCAGTCTTACCTCTAAACTTCTGTTTTCCCACTCTCACACTAAAACCAATCAATCGGGCACGATCATTATACAAATCATAAGCTTCTTTCTCACTTCTTGCAGTCTTGCCAACTAAAGTAAAAACAGTCAAATCATTATTCTTTGTCACAGATGAAATTTCCTTGTGCAAGGCATCCTCCTCCACCATCACATTATCAACTCCCAATTTATTGCCGCTATTATCTTCTCCACATTCTGAGATAAACAAAAGAAATGGTTGGATAACCATTACCATGCAGTCGGATAATCAGAATTAACACAATGGATAAATAAATCAAAAAAATTCAAACACATATCAACAAGTTAGAAAACCTACCCTTCAGAGCAGATGTAACTTCCATACGCAAAGCATCATCCAGCGTCACATCATCCCCCAACTCATTGATATGGTTATCTTTTACAAAAAATGAGACAAACAAAAAAACAAAAAAATCTAAAAAAAAAATCTTTGATACACCAAATCAATATAAACAACTCAAAAATGTTGGAATATCCAGTACAAATCAGTTGGATATCCAGCAAATAAAATTTGGATACTCAAGTAAATCTGTTGGATAACCAGTACACTTAAGCTGGATATCCAGTACAAACATGTTGGATATCCAACACAGCATAACTGCTTATCCACTTTATACAACATTAACAAAAATAGAACTGTGAAAAAACCTAGATTGATTATTCTCTCACAAACAGTACACTCCGAACTGTGAAAAAACACCATTTCAATATAAACAACTCAAAAATGTTGGATATCCAGTACAAATCAGTTGGATATCCAGCAAATAAAATTTGGATACGCATGTAAATCCATTGGATAACCAGTAAACATAAGATGGATATCCAGTACAAACATGTTGGATATCCAACACAGCATAACTGCTTATCCATTTCATACAACATTAACAAAAAATGAACTGTGAAAAAACCAGATTGATTATTCTCTCACAAATAGTACACTCCGAAACCTACACAAACCTGATTGCAGCTGATCTACAACAGAACTGTGACCTTGCGTTGATTTGCTGGCGCAGTAAGATTGTTCGATGGATTTGCTACCACTACATTTCGCATTCATCAAGCCGGAATCCTCAACGACATAACTCATCACTCAATCTGAACTCAGCATATTGTCGATCCAATCACCGTTTCGCCACTCTGGTGGAATCGGAGCCTTTCCTCTATCGCTGAACGCCGTCGCCGTCTCAACGACTCGATCGCCACCGGCCGTGTCCACCTCAACGCCTCAATTGCCGACTCCCATTGCCGCCTCAACGCCTCTATCGCCGCCGGCCATCGCCCATCAATAATACTCCATCACAAAGTTTTCCAAATTTGAATGAATTCGGTTATTTATATAACCCCACCTTTAAAAAAAAAGAAAAAGAAAGCTGAATTATAATAGCGGACTATTATAAGAGAGTAAAGTACACGCGCATGGGGGGACACGATACCCCGGGTGTACTAGATAATTTGCCCTTTGATGCCCCTGCAATTAACCGGCAACTGGAATTCTTCTTCTATTGTTGGCAAGTTCATGTTGGCGGCATTAGGTTCCCAGATCTCGAACCCAAAACTACCCACCGGCAGCAACCCCGGCCATTAAGCCCATCTTGTACTGATTGATTTTAATGATTTTCTTCTGGGAATCTGTTGGTTAGTCCTGTTTTGTTGGGGGAGTTTTCAACTCTTTAACGTTTACTTTCTATATATGCATATTAGTTACGGTAATGGGGTTCGAAATAAACTAAACGTGTGATATGAAAATGAAAAACAAAACAATGTAGATTATAGTAACTCCATTTCATACAATGAAAAACAAAACATTAATGAAAACATTCTTATCGCGCATGAGATGATAGAATGTATCAGGAAAGGAGAAATTGGATTGGCAACAATAAAACTGGACATGAGTAAGGCATATGATAGAGTATCTTGGCCATTCCTATATGCAGTCTTACAAAAAGCAAAATTTCCACATCAATTGATAACTATGATCATGCACTATGTGTCGACTGTTACTTACTCCATTTTGTTTAATGGACAAGAACTGCCTATTTTTACACCGAATAGAGGTATGTGTCAGGGTTTTCCCCTGTCACCTTACTTATTCATTCTATGCCAACAAGTATTGTCAATCAGCTATCAGGTCAGAAATCCAAAACTTTCCAGGATTGGAGATTAAGATTAGTCGCTCAGCACCCTGAGTAAGTCATCTAATGTATGCAGATGATAGTTTGTTCTTCATTGAATGCTAGGAGGCATCAATCATGGCACTGACAGGGTTACTAGAAAATTACACTAGCTTTTCTAGTCAACGCATCAATCTGCACAAGTCTTCAATTTTATTGAGTTCGAATACACCACCATCAATGAAGACTTTCATCCGTTCCACTCTGAACATCCCAACAAGTAATTTTCAAAGAAAATATTTAGGGATGCAATTAGATTTTACTGAAAAGAAGAAGGTTGTGTTCAAGGAGTTTACTACCAAGCTGAGCAACAAATTTGTTTCATGGAAATCAAAACTGCTCACATTATTAGGAAGAGTCACATTGGCTAAGTCTACTTTGTTTTCAATGTTAGTATATCCAATGGGAGTGTTTAAATTGCCGATGCATACTTTATCCATGACAGACAGGATCATTGGAAATTTCATATGGAAGGGAGACAGTCAGGACAAAAAGATTCATTGGAAATCCTAAAAGAAAGTTACCAAATCTCTCTTTCAGGGAGGATTGGGGCTTAAAGCAACAAAGGTATTCAATCAGACATTACTAGCCAAACATGCATGGAAGGTTATGTCTCAATCTCAGTCACTACTGGCTACACTTTTCATAGCTAAGTATTTTTTGCCCAGATAAAATCTCAGGCAAGGATATTCCAATCAATGTAAACTGGATCCCCACTATCTGTAATCCAATCACTGCACATTCCTTACTAGCCAATTCCAATTTGAGAGTAGCTCGTTTTATCCACCCATCAGGTCAATGGAAAGTATGGGCTCTCAAAATTTTTTCCCAGGTCATGTAATTTCTCTTATTACAGGAATTTTCATTGATCCAGCAAGACAATACCAATCGGACAAATTGCAGTGGGAATTCACAAATCATGGAGCATACACTGTGAAGTCAGTGTATCAGCTGGCCCTCAATGCTCAAATCCCGCAACCAGCGCTTAATCCAGATCATCTGTTAGCGGAAAAAAAAAGCACGGAAGAGTCTTTGGAAATTCCAGGGTGCAACCAAAATATTAGTAATTATTCTGGCGGGCACTCTCAAATGCTCTGTCCACAAGCCAAGAACTTGCCAAACGAGGAGTTCATCTGAATCCAATTTGTCCCAGATGTTTCAAGGAGGAAGAAGATAGTCTACATCTATTTTTTTGATGTGATGCATCAGTGGCGATTTGGGGACTAACTTATCCACAATTTGTCTCTATATTTAATTCGGCTTATGATTCTCCTTTACAAGGGTTTATAGCCTGGATCAAGATGAAGCCGACCAAAAACAGATAGATCTCCTGCTCTTAATTATTTGTAGAATATGGACAGAAAGAAATGATCGTATATGGAGGAATCAAGCAACAGATCCTGGAGTTTCATGGAGTCTTATTCAATCAGAATTCAAAACTCACTGTCGTTCCCTCCAATTACAGGATCATAATAGATCTACAAGGTCGAGACCAATGATACAACCACAACCAACTGCTAATGTTCCCATGATAGTCTTTGATGGATCGTTTAGTCATCAAACTAGACGGGCAACAGCTGCTTGGAAAATCACATCACCTCAGCGAATAGTGATGCCTATTAAGACACTTAATCTTAGTGTTTTATCCCCTTTCAAGCGGAAGCAATGACTTGCTATTCAGCATTGAAGGAAGCAGCGCAATTAGGACTCACTCATCTTCAGGTATTAACGGACCGTGAAACACTGTTAGGTAGGTGATTTACGGTCGCCTTTAATGCCTATTGAGGCTCACGAAGTTCTTATCTTGTTAGCTGATTTAATTTCTACATTTCAAAAGTGTGCACTGATTAAAGTCGATAGAAGTGTTGTTAGTGATATGCATAATCTAGCATTCAATAAAATACGTTGTAATAGTCTATGTACCTCACGTTAACAATACATGTACTATTTAAAAAAAAAAACTCCATTTCATACATCTTAGCATAAAAAAAGAAAAAAAAAAAAAAGAGAAACAATATAGTATAATTCACAGAGAAGCTAAAGCTTGAAAATCATAATCAATCAATTTACGGTGTTGAAAGAGTTCCAGCTAAGAATTGTGCTTGGAACTTAATGTGAATTTTAAGTTTAATCGAATATCTCTAACTCTAGGCATTACTCATATACTTTTTTTTAAAAAAAAAAAAAATTTTATCGAAATGATTCTGTAATTTGGATTTTCTTTTCACTTGTATTATTATTATATCAAAGATAAAAACCCAAACATAATAATCATTTTACATAAGAGAGAATATAAATTAGCTAAGGTGGCTGCAGTGCGCGAGCATTAAATAACACAAACTACGTTCTGAAATACAACTTAGTTCACTACCATCTTTGAGAGTTAACACTTTCCAAATGTAGATTACCAACTAGGCGACTATATATGTTGGTACTAGCAGTTCGTTTCTCTCAAATGTGTTTTCTGAAATCTTTTCGTTAAGTTATTTTTCTTTATAAATGACGGAAGTATAATGACGAGTTTTGACAGATTCTATCCTCTGAATAAACCTTCACCATGACTACATATGGGAGATTCGATCGGTTTGTTATTCGACAAATCAATGATTTTTAGATATATATGACCACTTTAATTTCATTATCTAAAAACTTTTCTTAGTAGTGTCGCTACAACATTGGCTATGTCATTTGTCGATCTTAGACATTAATTTACAACATCATACCAGTTACTTTTGAATGGACTTTTTATTTTTTATTTTTATTCATTTAATGCAAATTTTTTGGTTATGATAACTTAAACTAATTTAACGACTATTAATTAAATAACGAGATCATACTCTCAAAAGGCAAATGATAATGCTAGGACTAAAATTAGCTTACAGAGCAAAAAGTGGGTCTAATACCAAAATAATCCCTAAACACAGTCAATCATTCTATTTTTTAGAAAGACAACAATTTTTGAACATTGCTATTTACAATTATAAAAATTGCTCATTTACAGTCGTTAAGACAATTTTGCCCCTAACAAACAACCTTTCTTCTGAAACTATCAAATTCAAATTACTTTCTCTTCTTCTTCAACTCCCAAAGAAAGAATAAAAAAAAATCAAAATGTCAAATTTAAAAATAACAATTATTAATACTACTCATTTAAATTTAAAAAATATAAATAACAAAGATTAATACTACTCATTTAAAAAAAAATAAGTATTTAAAAAATAATAAATAACTAAAATATATATAACACAACAAAAAAAAGAAAATAAAAAAAATTATGGTCCAAGGTAGCCTGCCCAAAACCGACTACCCATGGAGGACCAATTGGCCCAAAACCGGCTACCCAAAGAGAGGTACCCGAACCAGAACCGGATACCTCTCCTTAGGTAGCCGGTTCCGGTTCGGCTACCTCTCCTTGGGTAGCCAGTTTCAGACCGGCTGGTCCTCTAAAACCGGCTACCTTGGACCATAAATTTTATTTTATTTTATTTTATTTTTAATTTTTTTGTGTTATATTCATTTTAGTTATTTATTATTTTTTCAAAATACTTAATTTTTTTAAAATGAGTAGTATTAATCTTTGTTGTTTATATTTTTTAAATTTAATTAGATTTAAATGAGTAGTATTAATAATTATTATTTATGTAAATAAAATTTAATTTAATATTAATTATATTTTTGTGTTATTGTTATTATTATTGTTATATTTATTTTAGTTTTAATATATGAATAAGAAGTAGTAAGCAATTTAATAATTGATGTTTATTATATTTTTAAATTTAATTAAATTTAAATAAGTAGTATTAATTAGAATTTGAAAATTAATTTATTATTAATTATATTTTTGTTGTGTATTGATTAATATTAATTTTTATGTGAATGAAATTTAATTTAGTAATAATCTAGCAATTAAATTTGTTATTGGTTATTTCTCGCGATCCGCCATTTTTTTAGCTTCTTAATTTTTGTAGATCTAAATTTGAAAGATAGGAGTTTTACTTTTTTGGTTTGAGGTTGGAGAAGAAGAAAGGAGAAGAATAAGAAGAAGAGGAAGAAAGGAGAAAAATAGGAGAAAGAAGGGCAAAATTGTATTAACGACTGTAAGTGAGTAATTTTTATAACTGTAAAAAGTAATTCAACAATTTTTTTCTTTACTCCGCCTCTTCTTTCTCTTTCGTCTTTCACGGCCTCATAATCATATGCAACAATACTACTACACGCACATGCCTTGGTCGTTAGCAGACAATTTGATATATATTTTTTTGTTGGGAAATAGAATCTCACATCAGTGTCATACAAAATCTGTCACATGTTTATAAGCTCTAAAGACCAACCCACTCACAGTCAATTGGTTTCTGAGTGTCAAGCCCAATGTAATTTTGACATTTTTCTATCATAATTTGGGGATATTTATATAATAATAGAGCTCAGTTCTGTTGCCATCTATTTGCCTTAGTTCTGAAATTTCTTTCGGCATCATCTTCATTATTATTAAATTTCTAATCGCATGAGATGAGTGAATGAGTTCAGAAATTACATATGTTTGTATGGTTTGTTAGATTTTCTCAATCAAGTTAAGTCAAAAAAATAAAATCTCTAGAATTGGTAATGGAGTCGTGATTAGATTTATCAGAAAGTCAAATTAGTGTCCTAACAGATTGGATTTGATTGCATTTAACTCTTTTACTCTCTACAGCCGCTGATACAACGTGAATAGTTGGAAGATTGTCGGAATTATTGCTTCGGGAGATTATACTGGTATTGGAGCTGAGGAGGTGGGGGACCACAGATTGGAAGTACAACTCTGTGAGAAAAGGTTGGAGAGAAGATTTTTTTTTCTTCGCTCATTTTACATTTTAACTCATTTTACCTCTTAAATACAAAACCCAATGTAAAAAAAAAAATCATCCAAATAAATTTTTAATTTACAGTTTAAATTTCAATTTTAAGTACTTTTTATTAGTGTAATGACCATTTTAGAACTACAAATAGTTCAGTGACAAATTTGGCAGAATTCCGTTATTGAGCGACTGTTTTTGGAAAAGTTTTTTTTTTCCAATGACTATAATTGAAAGTATTTAATTGTTTAGTGATGACTTATACTTGATATTTCAAAATGTAGTTCAAAATACTTTTTTTCAAAACCAACACCTAAACAATATTTTTATTTCCCATTTAGTTTTCAATTTGAAACACTTTCCACTTTTAAGTGGCAAAATGAAATGTAAGTTGATATCCAAACAAGCACCCGTTTCACCATTTAAGGGTATTTTAGAAAGCATATCCATAATTTGCTCTAGAAATTAATTTTTGCCGGACAATATCACTAGCCCTCTCAAAATTGTCAACAAGTGATAATTAACTTGATATATAGATGTCACACTTATGCATTCGAGTAATGGTTGGCAAAGACGACAACCTGTCAAGTTAAAGCAAAAGTTCATAAGAACAAATAAGGAAAAAACTTATCATAAATTAATAAAAATTTAATTCTGTATCTTTTTCAACATTAAAAACTTTATTCATGGTGAATTGATGAAATGGGCCAACAATTTCCTAAAACGGAAACTAACCAAATTATTCTCACCTTCCAAAAGCTAACCCATCAACAAAATTTCATACTGCTAATCTAACAGTGACGAATGCTGTCAACATTTAATTGGCCTAACTTCTTGCTCAAGCAAAAAATTATCAATAAAAAGATTGCCAACCCAATATTATTTGCTTAAATTCTTAAACTAAAAATGTCTGATGTTGAGTTAAAGGGTTGAGACGTTGTGTAAGGTGTTTAGGATGGATTAATATTATCTTAAGAGATTTAGGGTTTAAAATTTTGTAGCGGCAATAATTTTTTTTCTTTTTATTTTTTATAAAATAAAACTAAAATTTGGGATATTCTTTTGGCCTAATATTTCAAGACGTTCCCATCTACAGCTACTCGTTCTGTTGCAACAATTATATTGGTGGACAAAACAATAATAAAACTAACTTCTAAGTAACTTTCATTGAATAATTAATACAAAATAATCTTAACTAAAACCCGATAGTTGAATATAACGTCTAGCGTTTTCCTGTGTATTCTAGTTTCGTTACAGTATTATTATAAAAGTTTGGAAAAATTTAGATAAGGGGCAATGGAGACTAAATAATTAATAAAGAGGGCAACAGTTTTGAATAATTTATATTGGGCATATCAATTCATCTAAATAAACATGACTTTAAATTTAGTTTCTTTTTCTTTTTTTTTAACCCAAAACATAACAATTACAGCAAAATTAAGATAGAAAATTCAAACAACAAATTCAGAAAAAGATGCATAAGAGAGAGTATATAAACGAAAAAGAAGCTATAGGTGGCTACTCTTTATATTGACTTTAAATTTAGCTATTAATAAAAACCCTACTATATGAATCTAAATACTTGGAAAGTTAATTTAATTTATTTTTCTCGTTTAGCCTGATTAATATAGAAATACTAAAGTGGTCAATGACCACATATACTTAAAAATAAAATCTTTTTTGATATTATTATATTTAAAAATTTCAAAACATGAAAGTAATTTAATTAACTCTAGTAAATATGTTGTATGCCTCGTTTGAAGTACAAGTTCGGGAGGAGGGAGGGGAGAGAAGGGGGTTATATGAAAGTGAAAAACAAAAATTTACTTAGAAAAATAAAAAAAATATTAACATTATATTTACTTAAAAAATAATTACTTAAAAATATTAACATTATACAAAAAAAAAAATCTGCTATCAACAATTAAGAATTATTAACGTTTTTATTTTTCAAGTCAACATAATATTTTTTTTCACATCCTTTAATACATTATATTTTTCATATTGATACAAAAATATACTAATCACTAAAATATTTAATTTATGTGTTTAAAAATCAAATGAAAAAAACAAGATGCTTTTATTTCAAGAATTCATGTTTGTCTTGTTTAATTATTACGCCCCCTAATACAAATTATTCAAGAGTACTACCTCCTTTATTAATTATTTAGCCTCCACTATCCCTAATCAAAATTTTCTCTAAAAGTTTCCTCTTTACCTACACAAATACATTTTTTGAGATGTTTTTTGACTTCTTTAGAGATAAATTTTAATTATCTAACGGAAGAAATCCAAATTAACGATATCATCAATTTTATCATTCCATCCTTTAGACCCAATTACTTTCGTCATTAGCTTCGACAGTAGCTGACAATGACCTTGGGTCAAGTATTTGAATAATTCATGATCATTTACACCATAATATCAGAGAAACGCAACGTCACACAATTGTTCCAAAAGGAAATGAAGAATGTAAAAATAGTACACAATCTATCTCTAGTACTCCGATCTCGTTTTAGGCCGAGTGGGTTGTATAAAAAAGGTCTACTGACTCTTTCATCATAAAAAAAAATTTAAAAAAACTTAAAAACAGTTAAGAAAGTTTAGACATATACCTACCAAAGTTAATTAAAGTTAAGTTAGACAATATTTTTGGAATTTTTTTTTTAGAAAAAGAAGTTGATTTTGTTGGCCTATTTATTTGTGCGTCTTTTGGTACCCATAAGAAAATGTTAATCCATTGAATGATATGATGAACGCTAGTCAGAGAGTGGGTTTGGAATTGGAGAGGGCAACATCATCATCTAGAGTAGTGCCCATTAATTTTGATGATGATGATAATAACTCAATCATTCAAGATCCAATTTCTCTTGCCCTCCTCTTCAAACTCCATAACAATAATATCTCTTTCAAAGTTGCATCTTCCTCGTCACACATTGGAGATGATGATGATGTTGATGATGAAGAAGGTCGGCGTAACACTTCCGGGAGCTCTGCGTCACCGGATGATTGGCTTCCGATCACGCAATCCAGGACTGGAAACTCATTCACGGCGGCGCTACACTTGCTTTGTTCGGGGTTGGGTATTCAGTCCCTTACACTGCCCATTGCTTTTGTTTCTCTTGGATGGTAACTATTACAAGTTGATTTTATTTTATTTTTATTTATTTCTTTTTGGCGTAACATTAATTATTACTAATGATAGCGAAAGAACACTATCTAAACTCAGTTTTATTTGACTTAAACAGTAAGACTTTTCTTCAAAAGCCCTAAATATCAAGTAGTGCGCTTGGCCCTATTACATTTGCATGGATACTAAAACACACTATGCATATATAGTAATTGACTATGTTAACGAAATTATTTAAATGTGACTTTAATTTTTACTGCATCTATCATTACTGTAAAGCTGGTGGATTAATTGTGGTGCAGGGTTTGGGGGTGTGTCTGTTTGTTAGTGATTTTTGGCTGGCAAATGTACACATCATTGCTACTTATACATCTCCACGAACCAAATTCCACACATCATGCTACTGGACCTCGATACAGCAGATTCATAGTCCTCTCCATCGTTGCATTTGGTAATTAGCTTTCTTTAAACCAACAATTTTCATCTTGTCACGGTATTTAGTATTTTCCTCCTATCAGAAAAATAATCAGCATTACAATTTGTTAATATTGTTTTTAATAACCCAATAATGATGATGATTATTGTTTTTTTTAATACACAAGAAATGCTGTTTGGATTTACGAGATTTTAGTAAGAGGTCACACGAGTTTTAGAATTTATAGAAATCTGTGCGATTCAGGGCCAACATTAGGAAAACTGCTGGCTATATTTCCAGCATTATACCTATCAGGAGGAACATGCTCGCTGTTCGTAGTAAGAGGAGGCGGAATCTTGGAATCGCTCGCCAAATTACTCTATTCTCATCATCATCCTGATTCGCCACCGGTTACGCCGGCCGAATGGTTCTTGATCTTTGTCTGCATAGCCATTTTGGTATCCCAATTCTTCCCAACATTGAACTCCTTAGCTCCAGTCTCACTGGTGGGTTCAATCTCAGCTGTGATCTATTTGTCAATGTTATGGATTCTGTCCATCACTTACACCACCAACCACCAGCCGCTGCCGCCCTCCTCCACCTCATCGTGGCCGGAAATATTGTATCGTAAAAATTTTCGTGGAATTATGGATGCGATTAGTCTGATTGCTCTTACTTTCAGAGGCCATAATCTTATCCTGGAGATACAGGTAATTATTTATTTTTAATCCAGGGTATGATTGATTTTCTTTTTAATTGGTTAAATATAATATATTGATAATGTGGTACCTTTTAGAATTTTTTCCTTTTTAAAATGTGTCCTTTTAATTATGTTTTGGGGTTTTTTTTTTTTTTAAATGGTACCTGTTATATATTATGTGATACCTATACTATTACATCACATTCTAGCATACGCAACATTATGTAGATCACTGACTTCTTAAGTGGTTTTCTTTCTTTCTTTCTTTTTTTTTATGTATCTTTCGCATCTAGTTAATTTATTATTATTATTCATTTCCTGGTTCTGTAACTATATACTTTATTAAAAGGAGAAATATATATTTTTTAATAATGTGAGCATAAGTCTAACTTCATTTGTAGTTTATTTGATTGAAGAGAAATTGATTGAAAGTTAGATTTAATGCAGGGAACACTGCCTACAAGTCCACAACGTCCAGCTCGTAAGCCTATGCTAAAAGGATTCACAGCTTCATATGTAGTCATTGCCATGTGTGTTTTTCCTCTGGCAATTGGTGGTTATTGGGCGTATGGAAAGACGGTTAGTACCTCTCCTTTTCTTTCTCTTTTTTTTTTCCTAACAAATTGTTTTGAGAATACTCGGTAGTGAGGTCTATTGAACCATTCAAAAGTCACAATAGTTTTCACGTTAAAATTGCTATTTAATAAATTGAATTATCGACTGAACTATTCAATTACGATATTAATCGTGAAAGTAGTGGTGAAGAAACTAAATCAACTTAAAACACCAACTTTTGTTTGGCACAGCTGGGAGCAACAATAACAAATGGGATCCTAGAACCATTGACATCAGAACTATTTTTACATGAGCACAAAACTCCATCAAAGAAATGGATTCTCGCCACCATTTACATAGCATTGCTGCTCCATTTAATATGTGCTTTCAACCTCTATGCCATGCTGGCTTTCGACAACCTAGAAAGAGTAATCTACGTGAGCAAGAACAACAGGGCGTGTCCGAGATGGGTTCAATCCGCGATACGAAGCGTATACGGAGGATTCGTGTATTTCCTAGCAATGGCCATGCCTTTTATTGGGAAATTAGGACCATTTTTTGGTGCCATGACACTTCCTTTGACTCTTGTTTATCCTTGTTTCATGTGGATAGCTATTCGAAAACGTATGTCATCTCGAAGAAAATGGAGTAATGATATGAGGATCAGTTTGGGAGTTGGTTGTTTTGGGACTGGGCTGAGTTTCGTACTGTTTGGAGTTGCATTGTGGGATTTGGTGGATTATGGACTTCAAGGCAAAGCTAACTTCTTTAACCCTCATTAATTGACGGCAACTTTTGTGTATTGCAATTTTATCGGATGTTCCCAAAAGGAAAAAAAAAATAAAAAAAATTCACTTGTATGCAAATGAGAGAGCGCTGACTCGGACTAATGGTCAGTGTTATGCTAGAGTTGGTTTTAAAATTTTGTAGCTCACCAGCTGAAATATTCATTAATAAGGGCCTCTATATGAAAAATATAATGAGTACGTATGAAAATTCAAAATGCATTAATATAATGCAAAGTAAATTTCTTGTCGTGAGAGCTAATTAAACTTATCACATTAATCTATTTTTCACTTCATTCCAAAACGATTATTATAATTATTGCGAATTACGACTGAATACAATGTTCCGACTTAAAATCAACATTGTTGGCATCCAAAAACCTACAAATTGCAAAAAAGAGAAATCAATTTCACAAGCATTAGAAATCGAAATGGACAGCTATCTAAATTTTCCTTCACAGCTCATGCCCCAACATTTTACACATTGATATTTTCATGTGCACATTTATTTTCAGACAACAAAGGATAAAATTACAAAATGAATAGAATGTGTTATGCACAAGTCAGTGTTTGAATCAAAATTTTATTTGAAAGTGAAATTCGACTTGTCTCAAACTAATTTCAAACGAATGTGCAAAATTCTCAAAGAGCGATGTTTTAGCGTTATACTCGTCAAAGAAACATCAACACTTTTGAGATAGAATTGATGCGATCGAGATTGGTCTTCTCAGTGAAATAATAAGAGAGCTTGATCGAATGAACAAAATGGCCACAAAGGCCTGTTTTTGTATGATTTATGATGATGTCTCGGTTGTGAATAGCCCGAAGCTGTAAACAGTATTTGCTAATGATACAACCGTAAACGAAATGCAAAAAGTTTAAAGGAAATTAATGGCGGAAAAGCTATAAAGAAAACAAAAACTTGATATTTGTCTGATGAATTGTGTACATTTTGCAGTTAGATCTTCTTTACTTATATATCTTCTTCCGCCAGAACCCTAGTCGTAGCGCATCCTAAGTCAAACCTGATAAGGATTCCTGTTGCGATAAAATTCTTTCTCCGACTCGAATTGTTGAAGTGACGAGTCCTTTTCCTTGGAAGTTCCCGTCTCATCCTCTCATTCTTCCATTTTAACAGATTTATCATTAGGTTGAGCGTGAGGTTGCCGGAACTTGATTTTACAGGATCTTTACTTACATTGAATAAGAATGAGGAGATACTCGAAGAGGATACATTAGTCCAGTCTCCGCAGCCACCCTCTCAAACTAAGCTTGAATGTGAAGAATTAGAAGAGGCTGAAGAGATTAAAAGTCCAAATATTACAAGTTCTCTTGATTCTTCTAAAATATACATTGTGGTGAAGCATGATTCACTCATTTTAAGAGTCGGTGACAAAGGTATGGATCAAGTTTATTTCAATGAGCAGAATATTCCTATAGTTTCAAAGAAAAGGTTTCATGTAGAAACATATGGCGAGTTTGTCCCTTGCCTAGGTGATCTTGAGGATGATGCAAAATATGATTCAATAAAAGACCAAGAAGAGGATCAATGGTACAAGATTGTATTTGAGAAAGAGGATATTGTAGTCTTAGAGTACAAGTTCATATTTGCTCATGCAAGGAAAGATATTGAGATCCATCAGTGTTGTTGAACTTGGTTTCTTATGTTACCGTGATGACTACTCTAACTGATCAACTATGGAGTCCGGCTAAAGATTTAAAACAACGTTTATTGGGAGGTAACCTAGCATTTTATTTTGCTTTATTTTATTTCATTTTTCATGAATAAGTGATGGTTAAGTTTTTTGTTCCTGATTAAAAGATTTCCAAATTTTTGTGATTTCCCTTAATAATCTGTCTCATAGAATTTAGGTTTTTTTTTCTAATTTTTGTTTATGTGTGGCAACTACTCTAGAATAAATGGCGATGGAAAATGCTTGGATGGAAGTTGCAGCGAATTTCTCTACACCTCTTCTCCAACAATTTCAGTTCTTCGCTTCACATTCCAAAGGTTATGTCGTTTCTTTTCACTCTTTCTATTTATGCGTTTTCTTTTCTTTTCATTTGATTGATTTGTCTTTTGTATTTTATACATTGATGGCAATGTATGCTTTTAGTGTAGGGGAGGAATATGTGTGTTTTGCGATAAAAAATGAAAAAATGAAAAAAAGGCCTAGGATGAGTATGATTAATTATTTATAGCGTGTAAGAATTAGACTATTTTGAATTATACTGCTTGACTTATGTATTTTTGTATGTTGTTATGAATACTCTGCTTTTTATACACTTAGTCGTGACCGTGGGATAAGCTTAAAATGAGATATAGTTACATGAGTTTGATCTAGATGTGCCATGAAAAGTTGTATTTTATTCACTCATACTTATATGATATGTATGTGGAACCCTATATGTTGTGAAGGAAAAACAACGCATTAACCCAATATTAGTCTTAAAAACCTTCTTGCTTTGACCCTTTGTGTTAAGTATGTTTGGAGGAGGGGTGTTGGCGGATGCTTCAAAGATTAGGTTAAATTTATTGAGGGAGAAAAGGAAGAGTATTCGATGTTAATGCTAGCCCATTAAGAGGCAAGGAATCTGGCAACCATAGAGCGGAGAGTCCTCAGGCCCGTTGGTGAGGAAAAAAAAATATATATGTTGAGATTGCCGTAAGTTGCTGAAAAAATGCTCTCGGTAAGGGCCTCATTGAGAAAGAGTCCTGAAGAAAAGCTACATCGACCAAAGAAAGAGTTATGGGAGGGAGGGGGAATAAGTTGTATGTGTGATAAGTTATTCTACTTCATAATATGTTTGGTGGTCTATTGTATTGAAATATGGTGCGAAATGTGAGTTTGTTGTTAAAGTGTTAATATATAGCATATTTGCAGTAGAGCTTATGGTTTATATGTTGAATGTAAAGTAATGTCCCTAAAAGTAGATCGTGCACACACACAAGCGTGGATTGCTAAAAGTGCCTATGGTTTGCATATTGTTGGGTGATACATAGGAGAGGTAGTCAAAGTCTTTATGTTATATGATGTTAAATCTCTGAGACCGCGAAAATAAATAATTTAATAATTGTGTTGTTTTAATTGTTAGAAATGCGTTAGGACAAACAATAATTCAATTTTGAGTGTATTTAATAAATGTTAAATTAGATATATCTTTATACTCCTATTCTTTATGTTTTTAAAAGAAATTTATATCTTCAAGTTGAATTTGGTATTTAATTAAATTAATAATGATGTGCAGGAAACAAATTCTTTTTATGAATATTAAATGATGAATTATTAGAATTTTAGACTTAATTGAAGAGGAAGAAAGTTGAGAAGCTAAAGACTTGAGGCACTTGGAATGTAAATAGGGCCAAATAGATTAATTCTAGCCGAACAAGAGACAAAAGGGAAGTCAATTTGCATGGCTGAAGTTAACTCATTTGGGCCAAAGTTTTAAACATAATAGTGGGCTGATTAAAGTCCCAAAAAAGCTTAAGGAAGCCCATGCTTTCCTATTTTATTTGGACCAAAGCTTTTACCGTTCCTTTGCTGAAGTTACAGCCGAGAAGAGAAAAAATCAAATTTGCATGGACAACGTGAGCTGACTGACTGAAGTCGGCGGATCCAATTTCTTTTTCTTGCGAAGTTCGAAACCGACAAAGCCAATTAGCACTATAAAAGGGGTGGGTGTTCTATTATTTGGGGAGATGCCGGGGGGCGCACAAAAGAAGACGCGGCCAGAGGAACTCGGACCATGAGTTTAGGCTGGTTTTCTTGACCCCGACGCATCCTCAATCCGGTTCCATTGTTCTATTTTATTTTATTTTATTTATTTTATAATAATGTGTAGTATCTAAATATTTTAATCTAGGGTTTTGGTTGTAGCCGTCGTATTATTTTAGTTTGTTTAATTTATGATTGAGGCTATTTCATTAATAAATATTTATTATTCTTGTTTTTCATTCATGTGAATACCTGATCAATATTTGCATACTTTTATGGTACTAGTTGAAGTAGCGAGAGTGAAAGACTAGTATTAGTTTGTAAGAATAATAAAGTTAGGTAGTGAGCAACGACAGTAGGAACACCGCCTTTGCGACTTGAAATTTCAAAGTTCTTAGTGTGCTTTTATTAATCTCTATAGCCACGAGAGTAGTCATAAGATTAATTTGAGTAAGAGGGTAATGACACGAGAGTGTATACTTCTTAAATTAATGAATTGGCGTGAGATTAATGAAAGTCCAAAGTCACATATCTATAGATTGAATAAAACTGAGTAGTGGGTCGGTGAACCCTTTTTCCTAGGTTTTCTTTGATTTAATTGTTTAGATTTTTAAATTAGTTACAATTATTACTTTAAGGCTTAGATTAGTTTAAATGGATAAATTGTTAATCTAAATAATAATAAGAAATAGTTTTAACCAGTATTTGATAACCTTATCCATGGGATCGACCCTACTTTCTGCTTTACTACTAGTAATTGTATTAAGTAGGTAATTTTATATTTGACTAGTGTAACGACGGCTTGTCAAATTTGGCGCCGTTGCCGGGGAAGGCAATAACCAATACCAAAACTAGATTATTTTTTTTATTAATTTAGATTGTATATTTACTTTTGTTTTATTAATTTTTTTAATTTTTTTGTCAATATTTTTGTAGGATTTTGGACATGGAGAATTTTAAGTATGGATATGGAAGTCTTCCATATTATGGTTATAATTCTGACTATGGAGACTATCCTACAAATCAAGAACACATGTACTCTTGGAGCAATTCCTCTGATGATCCTTATTATGGTTGTGATTACCAAGGATATTCATTTGATGCTGGATACAATTCTAATTTTGAGAACCCGAATATGAGTTCTGGAATGTTTTCATGTTTGGAGAGAATTGAAAAATTATTGATTGATAAGAATAAGAACAATGCTTCAAATTTCAATCAAGAGGATTGTTACTATTCTAATGCATCAGTGTACTAAGCACCACCTTGTAAATCTACTTTTAGGGACCTAGCAACCTTACCATCGTCACATAAGCTCAACCCACTCTGAGAGAGTTAGATTCCTCGTATGAGCAGCCACCTGCTCAATATCAACTTACTGTTAGAGAGGGAACTCTTCAAAGTTGGCGTAGTGAAAAAGGCAAATAATTTGTTGAAGAAGTCAACTAATATAGGCTGAGTGTGGGGTTGCCGGAACTTGATCCTATAGGATATTTGCTTAAATTGAATAAGAATGAGGAGATACTTGAAGAGGATACATTGGTCCTGTCTTCGCAGCCACCGTCTCAAACGAAGCTTGAATGTGAAG